ACGCAGCCCCCAGGGCCGCACCCAGGACCCCGCGGCCCAAACGAAGCAGCCCCCAGGCCGCCCCCAGAACGAAGCAGCCCCCAGGCCGCCCCCAGAAAGACGCCAGCGCTTCGAGCCGAGCCCAGCAACTACTCATAGCTACAGCCCACTCAGCCCTTGAACCTCTGGCGCCGCCGCTCACGGCTCGCCCACCTGGCCCAGGGAGAGTTGGGGCCGAAGCTGGAGCGCAGCCATTGGTGGTCCTCCGCTACCTGGGCGGCCGAGGGCAGAGGAGGGGCAAGCTCCTGGCTTGCCATCCAGGCCGCCACAGGTCACGGTCGGCCGTGAGCGGAGCGATGTCGTCGTTCCCCAATTTCACGATGTATTTGGTCGTCGCGATCCCGTCGGACCCCTTCCTCGGCCACGAATGCACATCGCACGCGCTGATCTCAGTGTTGTAGATGCAGACGTTGGGCAACGCCTTCGCCTCCCGCACGTCCCACATTTCGCCCAGGAGTGCATACACCTGCTGCCACTGCTCGCCCGTATCGCATGCGCTGATCTCAGCGTTGTAGCTGATGATGTTGGGCTCATGCTTCGCCTCCTGCATTCCGCTCAGCAGCGACAGAGCCCGCTGCCACTGCTCGCCTGTCTCGCACATCTCGCTCAGAAGCGCCAGCGCCTGATGCCACTGCTCGCCCTTTTCGCATGCGCTGACCCCAGCGTTGTAGCTGATGATGTCGGGCTCCAGCTTCGCCTCCCGCATTGCGCTCAGCAGCGCCAGGGCCCGCTGCCACTCCTCGCCTTTTCGCATGCGCGGATCCCAGCGCTGTAGCCAATGACTTTGTGACTCAGCTGTGCCTCACACATCTCGCTCCGCAGAACCAGCGCCCTCTGCCACTGCTCTACCTTCTCGCACGTGCAGATACCAGCGCTGTAGCTGATGACGTTGGGCAGCACCATCGCCTCCCCCCCACATCTCTCTCAGCAGCGTCTGCGCTGGCTGCCACTGCTCGCCCCTTTCCCACGCGCTGATCCCAGCGCTGCAGCTGATGACGTTGGGCAACGCCCTCGCCTCCCACACGTCGTCCGCGGCCCCCACGGTCTCGTGCGGCGGCGCGGCCACGTACAGCTCCTCCAGCACGATGGCCTCGGCCACCGCTGTGAGCTCGGCCTCATCCTCGGTCTTGGCCATCAGCTCGTCCATGCGCGAGCCGCCCATGTCGTCGACGCCTCGAAGTCGAAGGCCGCAGCTTCGCCGTCCAGCTCGGACATGCTGAACGTGGGCACCCCAGACGCCCGCACCCTCGCTAGGAAGGTGGCGATGATGTCCTCCTCGTCGTCGCGCCCGCACTCCGCCGGCTTCTTCTCCTTCAGCCCGCCGCGCCGCGCCCCCGCATGGGGCTGCCTCGGTTGCGTCCCACAGAGCGGCACCACTGCCCACGTGCTCGGCGCACGCCTTCGCCGCCCCATCGCAGAGAGGCCTCACCAGGACATTGGCTCTCGGGCTCGAACCGCCTCCAAGTACGTGCCCGAAACTCCCCGGAGCCACGCTCGGGAGGGAAACGGGTAAGTAGGAGGAGGAGAAGGAGGAGGACGAGGAGAAGAAAGAGGAGGACGCCTCTTGGAAGCCTCTTGGGGCACACTTGGGGTCTCCTGGGAGCTTCTGGGGGCCTCTTGGAGGCCTCCTGGGGGCTTCCTTGGGCCTCGTGTGAGCTTTTGGGGCTTGTTTGGGGCCGCTTTGGCTGTCTTGGGGCGTTCCTGGCCCGTCTGACGCTGTCGGAAGCCGTCTTAGATGCCTCTCTGAACCGATTTTGGACCTTCTTGTGGCGCTTCAGGGCCGTCTCGGAGGCCATCTTGGGCATCTTAGGGCCCTCTTGGGACCGTCTTGGAGGTTTCTGAGCCGTCCTGAGGCCATCCTGGAGGCCTTTGGGGTCACTTGGGGCGATCTTGGGGGCCTGTTGGACCGTGGGAAGGCCGTCGGAAGCAACTGCCAACTCCTGTCTAACAACCTCAGGAAAATCAATGATTTGGGCTCTTCGGGCCCTCATGGAGGACCTCTTGGATACATTTTGAGCCGGCTTCAGGGCATCTTGAGGGGTTTGGGGGCTGCTTGGATCCTCTTGGACCGCCTTGGAGTCCATCTTGGACCATTTTGGGTGGACTTGGGGGCCATACTGACCGTCTTGGAGACCATCGTGTGCCATCTTGGAGCCAGCTGGAGCAGGAACAACCTTGGCAACCACTGTTTCCGGATGGCCTGCGCGCTGTGCCGAAGCTCCAGGGGAGATTTGAACATACGAAAAATTGTTCAGAACTTCTAGCATGCCAGGCACCCCTGTGGCAAGCCAACAGGGGGAGGCGGATGGAAGACGCCTACGGCGAATCGCCGCTGCCCCTTGCCTTTTGGAATCGCTCATGTGGCCGAGCGTTGTGGCAAGAGCTCTGCCAAGCTATCTGACCATGTGTCCCCCGAGTGGGCATCTTGGGAGCCTCTGGGGGCACTCTTGGGGCCTCATGGGAGCTTCCTGGAAGCCTCTCAAAGGCATCGTGTGGACCTCCTTGGGCCTCCCCTTGGGGGATTTTCGGGGGCCTCTTTGCCCGTCTTAGGGCGTCCCTGGCCCGTCGGAAGCCGTCAAAAGCTGTCTTGGGCCTCTCTGGGCTGACTTGGGGCCCTGTTGGGGTCCAGGCCCGCCTTAGAGTCCACATTGGGCGTGTTGGAGGCCTTTCGGGCCGTCTTGGGGCCCTCTTGCAGCCGTCTTGGGGACCTCTTGGGCTGTTTTGGGGCCATCTCGGAGGCCTCTTGGGTGATCTTTGGGCGATCCTTGGGGGCTCGTGGGCCGTCTCGGGCCGTTGGAAGGGCGAAAAGAAACACATGCCAACATCCTTCAACAGCTTCAGGAGAATCGATGGTTTTGGTCTCTTCGGGCCTTTTTGGAGGCTCTCATACTGGGCCCTTGAGTCGTCTTGGGAGTCTCTTGGGGGCCTCGTGGGCCGTCTTGGGTCATCTTGGAGCCATCTTGGGCAGTCTTGGTGGCCTCGTGGGCAAACTTGGAGACATCTTAGACCCTCTTGAGCCATCTTGGAGGCCATCTTGAGCGAACTTGGAGGCCGTCTTGGGCCATCTTGGCTGTTTTGGAGGCGACTGGGCATTTGTTTCGGCGGAATGTGCGGCCTTCCGGGTGGCCGGCGGCATGCGCCGAAGCCCCTTGGGGGAGTTCTTCTGGAAAAGAACCACGACCAAGCCATACAGGAGTCAGCACGTTAGGCATCTTTGTGGCAAGCCAACGGGGCGGCGGATCGAATGTCCTTTGGCCCATCCCGCCGCCGTGCCTGGGTTGTGGGCGACGACGATGACGACGACGACGACGACGACGACGGAAATGGCAATACCGACGACGACGACGACAACGACGGACGACGACGACGACGACGGACGATGACGACGGCCGACGACATCGACGACGGTGATGATGCTTATGACCACGATGATGATGGAGATTATGATGATGAGCATGATGATGATGATGTTGCTGATGTTGATGATGAAGGGACGATGACGATGACGATGACGACGATGATGGCGTTGTTGAGGATGAGGAGGAGGATGAGGACGATATTTCTGGTGAGGGTGACGACAACGAGGACTACAACGATGATGACGGCAATGATGATGATGGTGGTTATGGTGATGTAGTTGTTGGTAATTGTGAATAGTAGAATATTGATGATGCTGATAACGATGACTATGATGATGGTTTGGAGGAGGAGGACGCAGGTGATGATACGTATCATGATGATGGCGATGATGATGACTAGGATGGTGATGATGATAATACTGATCAGGATGCTTATGATGATGATGATGGTAGGCGACGGAGCTGACAATGCCGACTACGACGACGACGGACGACGACTACGAACGACCACGACGGCCGGCGACGACGACGATGATGTTGTTGATGATGACCATGACGACGACGACGACGACGGCGATGATGTTGATGATCACGATAGTGATGTCGATTATTGTGATGATGATGCTTATGGTGATGATGATGACGACGATGACGATGATGCGGACGACGATGATGACGACGATGGCGTTGCTGAGGATGAGTATGAGGATGAGGAAGAGCATTATGGTGAGGCTGGCGGCAACCACCTGTACGACAACGACGATGTTGATTATGATGATGATGACGATGATGGTGATGGTAATGGTAATGGTGATGGTGATTGTGGTGGCTATGATGATGTTGCTGCTGATGATGGTGAATCGTAGGATGATGAATACCGATGACTATGATGATGGTGTGGAAGAGGAGGAGGACGACGATGCTGTCATTGTTAATGATGGAGGTGACGATGTGGTCGAGGGCCTCAGGGTGCCAACGTCACGAACAAACTGCAACGTCGGAGGAGAGGGTGACCCTAATAGCCTGCCCGTGATGCCCGGGGAGTCTTGCGGCGCGAGCGCGCCCATTGCTTGGCAGGTCCGTGTTGTGTCGACGCGATTGTTGGACAGCCGCGATTGTGCAAGTTTGAACGATCCACACGGTGCCACAAACAATCGCGCAAGTCGTCCCGGAACGAACCAGCCATGGCCGCCCCAGCCCCCCCCCCAAGCAGCGCTCGCCCGCCGCCTTCTCTCTCGAGGAATGACACCACTGCGCCAGCATGAGCACTCGGAGGTCCGCGCGGATTTCTCGCCGCTCCCGGCGCGCTCCGCGCCGCACGGGAGGGGCCCAGCGTCGACCGAGAGAGATCCGTGTGGGCCTCCGAGCAGGTGGAAGCGTTCGATGAATCCCCTCTTGGGAAGGCCGTGCGTGCCCAGGGGGGCAGGGAGAGAGAGGGGGGAAGGGGGAAGGGCGGCGAGAGACAGGAAGCGAGCAGAGGGGGGGAGGGAGGAAGGGGTGGGGGAGGAGGGGGGAGGGGATGAAGGAAGGGTGGGAGCAGGGGAGGGGAGGAGCAGGAGCGTATAGCTTGGCATGCTTGCTTTACCTCGTGCTTCCGCCGAGGAGGGCGTCCTTCCCGACGCGATCAACCAGCACGAGCAGGTGCTGGCAGCGGTCGGGGCCCTGAGGGCGGCGAAGGCCCAGCTGGACGGCGACGACCCCGCCACGGACGCGGCCTTCTTCGCCCGCCAGCGGGCCGCACAGCGGGCCCTGGGCATGCTGGAGGCGTTCGAGGTCTCAGATCTCCGGCGATACGATCTGTCGAGTCCCGGCGTTCTTCCGTGACCTCGGCCTCTGCGGCCCGTCACCGGGCCTCGGCCGTCCAGAGGCACGAGTTGGCCCCATATCAGTCCCGGCCAGCCCAGTCCGCTTCCGATATTCCGGCGATCCGATGTGGCCCGGATCTCGCACGGGGCCGTGGTGCAGGATGGCGGGGCAGATTCGGTCCAGCTCCGACCCCGTATCGATGCAGCCCGACCCGACGCACGTTCTGGATGTCCCGACTCGACGATGACAGATCCTGCATCCTGGGACGGTCCTGGGTTGCTCGATGAGCGTTGTGTGCGGGCCCCGGGCCGTCCCAGGTCATCCTGGACCAGTTTGGGGTCGATTTGCGGCCGTCTTGGGGCTGGCTCGGGGCCTGGGTGGCGGGCCCTCCTTGCCGATGCGGCCCGATCCGGTTGCTATTCCGACCCGATCCGATTTACCGATTCGGTGTTGGCCGCTCCTGGATCGGGGCGGCCCGCTCGCTGCGCACTCTCCGCGCCAGAGATCTCGTGATGCCGTCGCGGGGGAGCGCCACAACGTCTCTGCAGAGCGCGCTCCGGGGGTGCGCGGGAGGTTGGGGCTGGAGAACCCAGGGCAAGAGCGGTCGGCTCGGCCCAGCCGGCTGCCGCAGCCGTTACGTCCCCAGAGATCCGATGTGTTGATTTTGTTTCCAATGCGGTGCCCTGCCAGGGAGTCCCGATCCTTCTCTCAGGCCAGGTTGTTGATTCCCAACCGCTTTCTCACGGTCCTGTGGCCCGGTTGAGAAACACTTCCTTTTCAGTTTGGGTGCAAGGCGTTGGGCGGTCAGGTCCGATTGAGCGTCAAACTTCGAACCCCAGACCTCTCCTGGAGTGCGTTTCTGGCCAGAGTGTCTCGAGGGGAATCCACCCGTGGCCACGCGAAGCCTCGCGAAGGCAAGCCTGCCCGATCCTCCTCCAGATTCCTTGTTCGGCCATCGAGGTCGAGACGTTGGGTGCCTGGGTCCGACTGGGCCGCCCGTCGGCCGCGCGGCCTTTTCCGGCCTTCGGCCTTGAGGTGCCGCGGCAGTCGTCTGCGCGGGGGCTGAGCCTCCGAGGCCGTGCGCTCGCCCCACCCCGCTCGGTCCCCTCGCCGGGAATCCCGCCGTGCCCGCCTCGCCTTTGTCTCCCCCCCCTCCCCATCCCGCGGGAGAGCAGGGGCGGGAGGTCGGGCCGCCTGTGCTCTCTGCTTTCCAGCGGGTCGGGATCCAGGGTTGACGTGCCAGTGATGTCTGGGGCGCCCAGACCTCGTAGACAGCGGGCGGGCTGGAGGCCCGAACCGCGCGGCAGACAGGAGACATGCTGGTACCGGGGGGCGAATGTGTGTTCGAAGCGGATGTAGTCCCCGATAGGCGTCTGATCTGAGCTCCGTCCTCCGACCTCTGCTCGGGATGATGGCTCAACGTCGAGAGATCTTGATTATTGGACAGAGGCAGTGAGGTCATTTTTCGTGGATGGTTGATTGCTTGAGTGTGGGGTAGGATGTTTTCGTGAGTGGACCCGAGGCCGCCATCTGAGGCCTGCGGAATCGAGTCTGCACGGTGACTTGTGCAGGGCCCCAGGCAGTGAGCTGAGCGCTCGAGGCGACAGTTGTGTGAGAGTCTATTTCTTGAGTGGCCATCTTTGGCCACATGAATCTCTGGCCAAGGGTGTGCCAACATTGGCTTTGGTCGGCAACCAGATAGCTGACCATCGTGTTGCTTCCGCTGTCGTCTCCCATGCCACTCCTCCAGGGACATTGGAATGTTAAGAATGGGTGATCGCCACGAGACCCACCCTCTGCGCTGTCGAGGCGGCAGAGAGGCCGCCCTCTACGCGCGAGGTGGCGCGAGTCGCCGGGCGATTGAGGCCGACCGCCCGCCCGCGCCTGAGGTTGCCCACCACACACACTCTCCCTGTGCCCCACATTGGGGTTGCACCGGATGCGGATGCAGGGCGCTGTAGGAGAGAGGCCACCGAAGGGACTTGGCGAAAGAGTGCAAGTCTGCGAGAGGCGAACCCCCCGCTGAGATGGGTTCGTGGGTCATCCAGCGTGCTGCTGAGGGGATTTGCACTCAGCTCATGTCCCCCTGGGGTACCCTGTCCCGACGGAGTCGGCTTGGGGTATCCTCGGGCTGATGGCTCTGGCCCGTTCCATCGCCTCCAGGACGCTCGGACGGGCCGCGCAGCGGAAGCGCGCACGTGCACGGTGCATCGACGAGCGGACTTGGGGCCCCTCCTCCCGTCCTCCCCCTCCTGCGGGGCGGGGGCCCAACCGCAAGGTGCTTGCCACGGTGCCAGGGGGCAAGGTGCTTGCCACGGTGCCAGGGGGGGAAGGGAGGGGCGGTCGGTTGCGCCGCATGAACCCCGCCGCGCTGCTGCCTGCAGCCAGGTCCACGCCAGCGCCTGGATCCGCCCCCCCCCCCCCCTCCTCCCCAGACATTCAACGTATCCAGTGCGGGGAAAGGCTTCGGCCCTGATTCGCTCAAGAGTCAGTTGAGGCAGAGCTTTTTTTGTAAGTTTCGGTCATCGGGGGCCGTCTTCGGGCCTGGGGGCCGTCAGGCAATGACTCAGAACGAAAAACATTCTCTGGGAAAGGGTTGAGACTTTCTGTTTGGCGGGGCGCACTAAGAAAATCAAGTCATCGGACGTTTGGGTCCTCCTTCTTCCCCTCTCCTCGCCAGTCACCCCTCCTTGTCCTCGTGCCCCCCCCCACGCCCCCTCCCTCCCCCTCCATCCCCTGTTGCCCGCCTTCCCTGGCGCCCGAGCGCCCCTCCTGCGGCCGAGCAGCGGGCCCGCGCGGGCTCCCAGGCGGGCCGAGAAGGCCGCCGCGCGGCAGCGCGAGCAGGCGGCGGCGAGCGAGCAGCGGGCGGAGCCGGGGGGGCGAGGGGCGAGGAGGGAGGCAGGCAGGCAGACAGCGGGGAGGCCGGCTGTGCGTCGGATAGTCGTCGGTGCCTCTGCGTCGGTGTCTTTGTTATTGAAGGCCTCCGGCCAGTGCCGCCGAGCCGGGGCGCTCCGGGTGCTGGTGGTCGGCACGACGGCGACGACGACGACGATGACGACCTCGACGCCGACAACGGACGACTAACGACTGACGTGAGGAGGGAGGCGGGAGGCGGGAGGTGGGAGGAGGAGGAGGGAGGAAGGAGGAGGGAGGAGGGAGGAGGGAGGAGGGAGAGGATGGGGAGGAGGCGGAGGAGGCGGCGGAGGAGGAGGAGGAGGAGGAGGAGCAGCAGCAGGAAGAGCAGGATGAGCAGGAGCATGAAGGAGGATGACGAGAACGAGGATGAGGAGGAGGAGGACGATGATGCTGCTGCTGCTGCTGGTGGTGGTGATGATGATGATGATGATGATGATGATGATGATGATGATGATGATGATGATGATGATGATGTTGATGTTGATGTTGATGATGCTGATGCTGATGATCACGATGATGCTGGTGATGATGCTGATGCTGATGCTGATGATAATGATGATGCTGATGATGCTGATGATGATGATGATGCTGATGATGATGATGATGATGATTACGATGCTGATGATGATGCTGATGCTGATGCTGATGATGATGATCATCATCATCATGGTGGTGGTGGTGAGGACGAGGAGGAAGAGGAGGAAGAGTAGGAAGAGTAGGAGGAGAAGGAGGAGCAGTAGGAGTAGGAGTAGTAGGAGGAGCAAGGAATAATAGGATGATGCTGATGATGCTGATGATGCTGATGCTGATGATGCTGATGCTGCTGATGATGAATATGAAGATGAAGATGATGATGATGATGATGATGATGATGATGATGATGCTGATGCTGATGATGATGATGATGATGATGATGATGATGATGATGATGATGATGATGATGATGATGATGATGATGATGATGATGATGATGATGATGATGATGATGATGATGATGATGATGATGATGATGATGATGATGATGATGATGATGATGATGATGATGATGATGATCATCATCATCATCATCATCATCATCATCATGATGATCATGATGATCATGATGATGATGATGATGCTGATGATGATGACGATGATGATGATGATGATGATGATGATGATGATGATGATAATCGGTTTCTTTGTTATGTCCTGTCGCGGCAAGGGTTCCAGCAGCGGTGCCTTGCCGAGTGCTTTCCAGGGTTGTTCGAATCGTGCCGGACGATCGCCAGAGACCCGAGTTGCAATCCGAAAGCTGGGGATGCAGGCAGGTGGGCAACATGTTGGAGGTCATGCTGGGCTATGTGAGGCCTCCTTGGAGCCATGTTGGGCGCTGCTATCGTCGGGCCCTCCCCCCGCTTGGGGTAGGGGGAAAATTAAACAGTCATTGCCCACCCTCAACTGCCTGTGTCCAGAGGGCTGATAACACCTTGGCGAAGTACGCCTCATTTCTTTGTTGTTGTTTGCTCTGGGCCGCTACTTCGTGCCGTTGGTCAAGGATGAGAGTTGGATTGTCCGCTGGCAGGGGAAATTGAGCACGGTATATGTCCTTGCCGGGGAATAGATCATTACGTGTTCAAGAGGCGTACACCACTCTACCGACATCAGACGAGGGCAATGATGGTTCCGATGTCGTATGTGTTGTTTGCCGCTTCCCTTCGTATTGCCTGCGCTTAGTTGTTGCTGATTAGTCCTCTTTTTCATGCAGATCTGTTGCGGGGCTTCTTGGTGGCCTCCAAGATGGGATGGCGGCCACGTGGTCGCTTTTTCAGGGCTTCTGGGGGCGATGGGGGCCCTTTGGGGGTTTGGGGGCCTATTGGCGTGTTGTCGGCGCACCGGAACCCGACACCAACACTAAGATCCCACTGGAAAAGAAAAAATCATAGCCTCCGTTGACTGCCGTCGCCCGTGTCTTCGGGTTCGCGTGTCCCGCGCTGATGAATGCCAGCTCTTAGCGCGTGGGAACAAGGGGGGTCGTTTCTATTTCCTCAGGTGGGCGTTCGGATTTCTATGGGCCGCGCGAACCTAGCTGGCCCGATGAACCCAACAAGTCCCACAAAGGTTTCTTGGGCCGCACGTGCGCCGCAGCGCGCATGGGCCCAATGCGCCGCGCTGGCCTAGCCAGCCGCGCGGGCCCCATGGGCCCCCTGACTCATCAGGGCCACATCGGGTTTCTGGGCCTTGCGAATCCCGCGGGCCATGGAAGCCCCATGGGCCCTAGGGGCGCTATGGGCCCCATGGGGCGCTTTTCTATCATGCAAGCCCCATGGCCTGCAAATGCGGAGAGCAACGCGAGCCATCTCAAGCTTTCCAGGCTCCGTTGGATCACTGAGCGCCCACTGGGAAAGCGCTCCCAACTTTTCCAGTGGCGTCTTGGTGCTGGTGCCGGCTTTCCGTTCCCTGCAACATCAAAAAGCCGACACCAGCACAAAGGCCCCCTCTGGAACGGCGGCCCCATGGGCGAGCTGAACCCCTCGACGATTTCGGAAGTTCGCCAGGGGCTGCGGGCCCGGGTCAAGAGGGAGCCACGGTCTTTGGCCCCAGACGCGCAGGGCGGCCGCCGCCCCCTTTCGCGGGGAGTAGGCGGTTCGGAATCGTCGGGTGCTGGCTTCGGGCAAATAGAGGGTCAGGGATGCGACGCGGGCGGACAGAGGGCGGGTGTGGGGAGGGGGGGGGGCATATGAGGGGGACGAGCGGGCGGGGGAAAGCGCGGGGAAGGGCGGCGGTGGGGGGAGTGGGGCTTCGGTCGCGAGTTGCCTCCCTCTTCTCTCCCGAGAGCGCCCGCCAGTTTCGCTTCTCGCTTGCACTTTTTGTTTCCTGCTTTCCCTCCTATCTGCTGCGCGACGTCTCCCTTTCCCCGCCCTCCCCGGCCGCCCTGCGTTTCCTCAGGCCAGGGCGGGGTCACGCTGGCCCAAAGCACAATTCAAAATTTCGCGGGACAAATAATACTTTCTTGGTGTTGGTGTCGGCTCTCTGTTCTCCCATGTTGGGGGTCTTGAGCCCACCTTGTGGAACAGAGCCCCGCGGCCCCTGCGAGCTCCCCCTCTTGGGCCCCTCTTGAAAGCCGTCGTGGAGGCCGTCTTGGAGGCCGCTGGGCCGTCTGGCCGTCTCGGCTCCTCTTGGGCTGTGATGGGCCGGTCTGGGAGGGCATCGCGGATCTCCTTGGGTTTGGGTGCGTCCGAGACGGAGAGAATGCGAACATGTATGTGCGGATGTATGTACATACATGTATATGTATATATATATATGTATAACAGAGAGAGAGAGAGAGAAAGACAAAAATAAATAGTCCCCCAAGGGTTCCGACCCCCACCTCGATGACATTTCGGGCAAATCCATGGTACCGCGGTCCCGGGGTCCCAAAAGGCTCCCGGGGCCCCTCCTATGGCTCCCCTGGGAACCCGGCGCTTCCGAGACAGCCCAATAGTGATCCAAGTCTCAGATCCGACGCTGCCAGACCATTGCAACCCTGCGTTTGGACATACCAGCGGGGAAAAGACGTCGAAATGAGTTGCCCCACGCTGCAGCATCAAGCCCAGGTGACGGCACGGTGCGAAGCAGGAGACTTGCTTTCCGTTTCTCTACCGTCGGGTGATCGTGAGAGTGACGTTTCGGTGGGCGCGGGGGGGGAGGGCAGACCCAAGCACGCAGGCCACCACTGTCGCGGCGCATGCGACAATTTGCAAACCGCGCGGCGAAGGGCCACCCCTGCACGAGGTCACTCTCGCGTGCAGCCGACGCTGTCCCGGAATTTCTTCTCTACGTACCGGCACCTCCCCTCCTGCTGCGTCGCCCCCATCCCGCGTGCCGTTTATGGCCCCGGCCCGGGGATGGGGGGGGGCTCGAGTCTTGCGGCCACGCTCTCCATGGCATGCGAGCAGTCGTGGAGGAGGCAGGAACAGGAGGTGACCTCCAGAGACCTCCTGAGACCTCCCTCCCTGTCCGCGCGCGTTGCCGCGCGCGCCTTCTTCCACTCCCTCCTCGCGGGCGCTCCACAGTGCGCGCGGGGGAAGGGCGTGGTAGGAGGAGGAGGAGGAGGAGGAGGACTTGGAGGAATAGCAGGAGGACCCGGGCCTTTACAATGGCGCCAGGGCACATGGGGTCGGAGGATCGCGCTGCATGGCCGATGCATCGGCGACCCGATGCGACCTGGAGCACGAATTTCACGATTTCGACCACGCAGATGCATCGGGGATGCGGTGCGATCGTTTGACACTGTCGGACTCCGTCAGAGGAGCAGGAGGAGGAGGAAGAGGAGGAGGAGGAAGAGGAGGCGCACGAGGAGGAGCCTTGGGAAAAACAGCGGCAGGGAGGAACAGCAGGAGGATGAGAAGGAGGAGGACGACGACGAGACTACGACGCATTCATTAATGCCGGGTCAACTGCGGGAGGATCAAAAGCAAGACAGAAAAGCAGGCGGTGAGGATGGCAGCCCCCCCCGCTTTTGCCCCAGGAGCTGCAGGCAGCTGAGGTGCGCGCCCCGCGGCCCCTGACTCAGAGGACGCCCCCCGCCTCCCCCTCCGCCTCGCTGCGCGCCACCCGGCCGACGGAGAGCCCGCGAAGAGTGACCCGGCCCTCGGCTTCAGATCGGAAAACAGTGCTTCCATTTAGGGGCTCTTACTTCTGCGTTTCTGAGGAACTGGACGGGTGTCCCGAGGATGCGCCACGTTTGGGATCATATCCGCACGGTCGCCGCCCGATGCCGCCTGTGGGGGTGTCCCAGGAATTCGTCACGTTCCGGCCCGTTGCTGCCTGTTGCTGGCCGTTGCTGTTTGTTGGGGTGTCTCAAGGACCAGGATTCGCCACGTCCTGGCCAGTTACCGGCCGCTGCCACTGCTGGGGATGTCCAGAGGATTCGCCACGATTTTTGCCCGTTGCCGCCCGTTACCGCTTGTGGGGATGCCCAGAGGATTCGACACGTGGCGGCCCGTGACCGCTCCGTTGCCGCGTCACCATATATTTTACACCGCATAGCTTGCACCACGTCGATTGCACCACAGAGAGCTTATACGAGCATGCCACATAGCTTGCACCACATAGCTTACACCACAGATTTTGCACCACATAGCTCACACAACATAATTCTTTACGCTTCGCGTATCCCCACCAGCCCATCTCAAAACAGCCACTCTTGCGAAGCATGCCGACAGTCGTGTTTTTACCTAACAGCGAAGACTGATAGGTTTCTAGTAGTGTCAAAAGAGGTCACAGATCACTCCACAGGGGGGTCCGGGCAGGTGTTGGGAGTTGCCGGGCGGGCCTGTGCCGAGCTCGTTTTTCACCAACAGTCACACACTTCGTGCTCTTCGAGTTCCCAGAACTCCATTCCCAGGCTCATTCTGAATAACCGGATGCAACAGTCACACACTTCGTGCTCTTCGAGATCCCAGAACGCCATTCCCGGGCCACCTTTAGAATAACCGGATGCAACAGTCACACACTTCGTGCTCTTCGAGTTCCCAGAACGCCATTCCCGGGCCACATTTAGAATTGTTGACGCTTCGCGTATCCCCACCAGCCCATCCAGAAACGATGCTCAGGGGAGTTGAGGTGATCAGGGAAGTCGGGGAGCATGCAGAAGAACAAAGGGCGGGGGAAGCTGTCACAGACCCCGAGAGGGGGAGGATGGAAGAGGAGTCGTCGTCGTCGTCGTCGTCGTCGGAGGAGGAGGAGGAGGAGGAGGAAGAGGAGGAGGAGGAGGAGGAGGAGGAGGACGGAGAAGGAGGAAGAATCGGAGGAGGAGGAGGAGGAGGGGAAGGAGCTTCTTGGGGGTCTTTTGAGGGCCTCTTGGAGGGCTTTTTGGGCGCCTTGGGGCATCTTGGGCGCCTCTTGGGACCCTCTGGAGGCGCTCTGGGGAGCCTTCGGGGCGCTTTTGGGGCCATCTTGGAGGGAGTCGATCAAACAAGAGGGGGGGTTGAATTAGCGCCCCCCCTCGGAAGCCCCTAAAATCGCCTCTTGGACCCCTCTTGGAACGCTCTTGGAGTGCTCTTGGGCGCTCTTGGGGCCGTCTTGGGGCTCTTTTGGGGCTCTCTTGGGGCCCTCTTGGGCCATCTTGGAGCCATCTCCAGGCCTCGGATGGCCATCGGAAGCGAAAAGGCGAGAAAGCAAAAATCATTGATTTTCCTTAGGTTTTGGGACGATTTTGGCCTCTTCGGGGCCTCCTTGGGGAGCTGTTTGGCCACTTGGAGTTATCTTGGGGCCGTCTTTGGGCTTCTTGGAACCATCTTAGGAGCCATCGTGAGCGATCTTGCGCTATCTTGAGCCATCTTGGAGCTCATCTTGGGTTCTCTGAGGCGCTCTTGGAGCCGTCTTGGGCCATCTTGGACGCTCTAACTACCCGCGGCCCCCCCCGTCCAGGTCCAGGGGAGGGGGTAGGGGGAGGGGTAAACCCCTCCCCAAGGGGGAAGAGGGAGGGGTGGAAGAGGATCTGCTCTAGACCACCTACGCCCAGAGGGCTGGTGGGATAACCGGATGCAACAGTCACACACTTCGTGCTCTTCGAGTTCCCAGAACTCCATTCCCGGGCCACATTTTGAATGCCCGGAGCCAACTGTAGGCCACTTCGTGCTCTTCGAGTTCCCAGAACTCCATTCCCGGGCCACATTTTGAATGCCCGGAGCCAACTGTAGGCCACTTCGTGCTCTTCGAGTTCCCAGAACTCCATTCCCGGGCCACATTTTGAATGCCCGTAGCCAACTGTAGGCAACTTCGTGCTCTTCGACTTCCCAGAACTCCCATTCCTGGGCCACATTTTCAGCAGGGGCAAGAGCACGACGAGGAGGAGGACGAGCAAGACCAGGAGGACGAGGACGAGCAGGAGCAGGACGAGGAGCAGGAGGAGCAGGAGAAGAAGGACGAGCAGGAGGAGGAGGAGGACGAGCAGGAGGAGGAGGACGACCAGGAGGAGGAGGACGACCAGGAAGGAGGAGGAGGAGGAGGAGGAGGGGAGGGGGAGGAGTACCAGGGAGGAGGAGGAGGAGGAGGAGGAGGAGGAGGAGGAGGAGGAGAGGAGGAGGAGGAGGAGGACGAGGACGAGGAGGAGGAGGAGGAGGGGGGGGGAGAGTACCAGGAGGAGGAGAACGAGGACCACCAGGAGGAGGAGGAGGAGGAGGAGGAGGAGGAGGAGAGAACACCAGGAGGAGGAGGACGAGCAAGACGAGGAGGACGAGAACGAGGACGACCAGGGAGGAGGAGGAGGAGGAGGAGGAGGAGGAGGAGGAGGAGGGGGGAGGAAGGGAGGAGGAGGAGGAGGAGGAGGAGGAGGAGGAGGAGGAGGAGGAGGAGGAGGACGAGGAGGAGGAGGAGGAGGGGGAGGAGGAGAGCACCAGGAGGAGGAGAACGAGGACCACCAGGAGGAGGAGGAGAAGGAGGAGGAGGAGGAGGAGAGAGCACCAGGAGGAGGAGGACGAGCAAGACGAGGAGGACGAGAACGAGGACGAGCAGGAGGAAGAGGAGGAGGAGGAGGAGGAGGAGCAGGAGCAGGAGAAAGAGGAGGAGGAGGAGGAGGAGGCAGGCTGAGGCTGAGGCTGTGACTGCGACTGCCGTTGCCGCTGCGACTGTCATCGCGAATGCGACTACGACTGCGAGAACAGCAGAATTCGACAACTGGATTTTCATCTGAATCTTAAGGGGAATGCTTTCAGATATGCTTCTACACATCGCTGTTAGGTTGCTTTGCCGGGATAATTTACCTAACAGCGAAGACTGATAGGTTTCTAGTAGTGTCAAAAGAGCTCACAGATCACTCCACAGGGGGGTCCGGGCAGGTGTTGGGAGTTGCCGGGCGGGCCTGTGCCGAACTCGTTTTTCACCAACAGTCACACACTTCGTGCTCTTCGACTTCCCAGAACTCCATTCCCAGGCTCATTCTGAATAACCGGATGCAACAGTCACACACTTCGTGCTCTTCGAGATCCCAGAACGCCATTCCCGGGCCACATTCTGGAGGGCCGGATGCAACAGTCACACACTTCGTGCTCTTCGAGTTCCCAGAACTCCATTCCCGGGCCACATTCTGGAGGGCCGGATGCAACAGTCACACACTTCGTGCTCTTCGATTCCCAGAACTCCATTCCCGGGCCACATTTTGAATGCCCGGAGCCAACTGTAGGCCACTTCGTGCTCTTCGAGTTCCCAGAACTCCATTCCCGGGCCACATTTTGAATGCCCGGAGCCAACTGTAGGCCACTTCGTGCTCTTCGAGTTCCCAGAACTCCATTCCCGGGCCACATTTTGAATGCCCGTAGCCAACTGTAGGCAACTTCGTGCTCTTCGACTTCCCAGAACTCCCATTCCTGGGCCACATTTTCAGCAGGGGCAAGAGCACGACGAGGAGGAGGACGAGCAAGACCAGGAGGACGAGGACGAGCAGGAGCAGGACGAGGAGCAGGAGGAGCAGGAGAAGAAGGACGAGCAGGAGGAGGAGGAGGACGAGCAGGAGGAGGAGGACGACCAGGAGGAGGAGGACGACCAGGAAGAGGAGGAGGAGGAGGAGGAGGAGGAGGGGAGGGGGAGGAGTACCAGGAGGAGGAGGAGGAGGAGGAGGAGGAGGAGGAGGAGGAGGAAGAGGAGGAGGAGGAGGAGGAGGACGAGGACGAGGAGGAGGAGGAGGAGGGGGGGGGAGAGTACCAGGAGGAGGAGAACGAGGACCACCAGGAGGAGGAGGAGGAGGAGGAGGAGGAGGAGGAGGAGGAGGAGAACACCAGGAGGAGGAGGACGAGCAAGACGAGGAGGACGAGAACGAGGACGACCAGGAAGAGGAGGAGGAGGAGGAGGAGGAGGAGGGGGGAGGACTACCAGGAGGAGGAGGAGGAGGAGGAGGAAGAGGAGGAGGAGGACGAGGAGGAGGAGGAGGAGGAGGACGAGGAGGAGGAGGGGGGGGGAGAGCACCAGGAGGAGGAGAACGAGGACCACCAGGAGGAGGAGGAGGAGGAGGAGGAGGAGGAGGAGGAGGAGGAGAGCACCAGGAGGAGGAGGACGAGCAAGACGAGGAGGACGAGAACGAGGACGAGCAGGAGGAAGAGGAGGAGGAGGAGGAGGAGGAGGAGGAGGAGCAGGAGAAAGAGGAGGAGGAGGAGGCAGGCTGAGGCTGAGGCTGTGACTGCGACTGCCGTTGCCGCTGCGACTGTCATCGCGAATGCGACTACGACTGCGAGAACAGCAGAATTCGACAACTGGATTTTCATCTGAATCTTAAGGGGGATGCTTTCAGATATGCTTCTACACATCGCTGTTAGGTTGCTTTGCCGGGATAATCAGGAGTGTTTCCGCCTGCCCCCGCATATCTCCCTTGTTCCTCCTTCCTCCCGCCTCCTTGTACATCCTCCTTGTGGTGGGAGCGGGAGAAGGACGAGGCGGAGGAGGAGGGAGAGAAAGCGCTCCTCGTGGTTTGAGTCGTTTGGGGTTTCTCGTCCTGGTGTGAGTCGTTCGGGCCCTTCTTCCTGGTGTGAGTCGTTCGGGCTCTTCGTGGTGTGAGTCGTTCGGGCTCTTCGTCCTGGTGTGAGTCGTTCGGGCTTCTCGTGGTGTGAGTTGTTCGGGCCCCTCGTCCTGGTGTGAGTCGTTCGGGCCCCTCCTCCTGGTGTGACTCGTTCGGGCTCCTCGTGGTGTGAGTCGTTCGGGGCCCTCGTCGTGGTGTGAGTCGTTCGGGCTCCTCGTGGTGTGAGTCGTTCGGGCGCCTCGTCCTGGTGTGAGTCGTTCGGGCCCCTCCTTGTGGTGTGAGTCGTTCGGGCTCTTCGTGGTGTGAGTCGTTCGGGCCCCTCGTCCTGGTGTGAGTCGTTCGGGCTCCTCGTGGGGCCTCTTGGGGGCCTCTTGGGCCTCTTGGGGCCTCTTGGGGGCCTCTTGGGGGCCTCTTGGGGGCCTCTTGGGGGCCTCGTGGGGCCTCTGGGGGCCTCTTGGGGGCCTCTTGGGGGCCTCTTGGGGGCCTCTTGGGGCCTCTTGGGAGCCTCTTGGGGGCCTCTTGGAGGCCTCTTGGGAGGCTCCTGGGGGCCTCTTGGGGCCATCTTGGGGCCTCTTGCGACCTCCTCAGAAGCGCCAATGAGCGCTGCCCCCTGAGAAGGACAAAAGGAGCCCAAAACCTTTGTAAAATCAATGATTTTGCTATGAAGGAAGATAAGCGCGGCCCCCTCAGGACGCCCAAATGGGGCCAAAACCGTAGTAAAATCAATGATTTTTGGTTCAAAGAAGAGAAGAGGGGCCAAACTCGGCCCCCCCGTCGGGGCCAGAATCCTCGTGAGGGTCGTCGTTTTTTAGCCCTCCCAGGAGTCGAAAAAGACCCCCTTGCCACCACCCGGGACTCCCTGTCCAGGTCCAGGGGGAGGGGGTAGGGGGAGGGGTAAACCCCTCCCCGAAGGGGAAGAAGGGGGTTGAGAACAGAGAGAGCTCCCTAAACCACTCACGCCCAAAGGGCTGGTGGGATTTGCACGTCCACAGTGCAATAACTGACGATTTGGGATCCACGCTGGCTAACATTCGTCATTTTCTGTTGGTGCGTAGATGTTGAAGCATTTGTTGTCTGAATGGGCCTCCTGGAGGCGTCTCATCGCAAACGCGTCAAGGTTTAGCGGATTTGGCCCGGTCCCTGGCATCGATTCGGGAACAAGCAGACCAGATCGGGACGTCCATCGGGGAGCGACCAGGGAGCGATCGGTTGCCGCTTTTCGCGGGTCTCTTCCCCTCCTTTCTCTTCTCGCTTCCATTTCTCGTCCCCCCTCCGCCTCATTTTGATCCTTCCCCTCCCAGTATCAATCAGCAAGGAAGTTGGATCGCATCGGAACGTGCGTCAGGTCCGGCCGTATCGGCACGGAGATGGAACCGGATCGGATCGGCCGCGCCAGGATGCACAGCGGCGTTTTGGAGTCATCGGGGCGCACCAGATCGTCGGAGCATCGGAGTCGAATCGGATCGAGCCAGTCAGAATCGAAGTCGAACCCGAGCGATCGTATCAAACGAGACCTTATCAGTGCCCTCGCGTCAGCAGGCGGAATTCCTCCCCCACCGCTGGCGAGGAAGATCTTCCACCTCTTCCGCTACGTGGGCAGCGGCGCCAGCTTCCGGTACGAGCCACCGCCGAGGCTCAACGCCGAGCAGACGGGCTTCGGGTCTGGAGGCCCGCGCCCACGATTGGTTTGCAAGCCCGAGCTGGTTTGCAGAGCAGCCAGGTGTTCTGTTGTGGACAGGCGCCCGCGCCACCGCCCAGCATCCCCCTTGTGACGGCCCCACCTCGGGGATGCCGCTCAAGTTGTTGCGGTCAAGTCGTTTTGGGATGAGGTCAAGTCTTGGCTTCGGAAGGAGCTCGATGCTCCGTGTGTCCGTCCATGGATCTTCCTGTGGCGCTGCTCGAGACTCAGAGTGGGCTTCGAAGCGGCCTTGGGAATCTCAGCAGGGAACCCTGGGTAAGGAACGAATCGCTTTGTACCTTGCCCAGGGTTCCTTGTGGCAAGGCTCTGGCTGTTCCTGGCTGGCGAGTGTCCTGTGTGGCAATGGTGGCCCAATGCGCTGGCTTTTGCCAGCGCCTCTCTGCGGGTGTGTTTCCCTACATCTAAAGTGGGGTTCTTGTTTTCTCTGGACACCCCGCGCAGGAACTCGCCCACCTACCCGCGCAGAAAAGAACACCCTCTCCTTTTCTTTAATCGCACACTCATTCACTCAATCACTCACACACATCATCACTCACACTCACTCGCTCACCCACTCACTCACCCACTTGCACACTCACTCACGCACTCATCATCATCATCATCATCATCATCATCATCATCATCATTATCATTATCATTATCATCATCATCATCATCATCATCATCATCATCATCATCATCATCATCATCATTATTCACTCACGCACTCACCCTCTCACTCACCCACCTATCCGCCCATTCACTCAGTCACACTTTCATCATCGTCAGCAGCATCATCATCACCATCATCATCAGCAGCATCATCACCAGTATCATCATCAGTATCATCATCATTATCATCTTCACTCACTCATTCACTCACCCACTCACTCATCTCGGGCGGGAGCCTCGTCTGTGAGTGAACTGAGAGGAAGTCTCAGGCGAGAACCCCCTCTGTTGGGGGCCCGCAGCTCATGTTTGTAATCCGAGCGGGTCATCGGACACCTCTAGTTGTCGCCACTTTTGGGCTCCAGGGGCTTGAATATGGAGGATATATCAGGCAGGAGTCTCGTCGATGAGTGAATTGCGAGGAAGTCACAGGCTGTTGGGCCCCCTGAGGCCAGAATGTGGAGGAAGTATCTGGCGGGAGTCTCGTCTGTGAGTGAATTGCGAAGAAGTCTCAGGCGGGAGCCCCCTCCCTATGGGGCCCGCAGCTCATGTTTGCAATCCGAGCGGGCCTTAGGAAACTTAGAACCGTCGTCACTATTGGGCCACCTGAGGCTTCAATACAGAGGAAGTATCAAGCGGGAGCCTCGTCTGTGAGTAAATTGCGAAGAAGTCTCAGGCGGGAGCCCCCTCCCTATGTGGGCCGCTGCTCACGTTTGTAATCCGAACGGGTTATCGGAACCCTCTAATTGTCGCCACTTTTGGGCTCCAGGGGCTTGAATATGGAGGATGTATCAGGCAGGAGCCTCTTCTATGAGTGAATTGCGAGGAAGTCTCAGGCGGGAACCCCCTCCCTATGGGCCCGCAGCTCATGCTTGTAATTCGAGCGGGTTATCGGAAACTTGTAATTGTCGTCATTGTTGGGCCCCCTGAGGCCTGAATGTGGGGGAAGCGTCAGGCGGGAGATTGGTCTGTGAGCGAATCGCGAAAGGTCTCAGGCGGAACCCACCTCCCTATGGGGCCCGCTGCTCACGTTTGTAATCCGAACGGGTGATCGGAACCCTCTAATTGTCGCCACTTTTGAGCTCCAGGGGCTTGAATATGGAGGATATATCAGGCAGGAGTCTCGTCGATGAGTGAATTGCGAGGAAGTCTCAGGCGGGAACCCCCTCCCTATGGTGCCCGCAGCTCACGCTTGTAATCCGAGTGGGTCATCGGAAACTTGTATTTGTCGTCATTGTTGGGCCCCCTGAGGCCTGAACACGGAGGAAACATCAGGCAGCATTCTCGTCTGCGAATGGATTGCAAGGGGGCTTTGTTGGGGGCCGCCCGGGGAGCTGTTTGGCTTGTGGCCTCTCAGCACTTTGCGAGGCGAACGCCTCTGGCCTCGTCAGGTATGCGAGCCTCTGGCCGCGTACGACTCCTGTATAATCAGCCAGCGTCGGCGAGAGCCTCTGGCCTCAGGCCTGAATTCTCAGGCGGGGCCTCTGGCCTGAGGCCTCTGGCCTCGGCGACGAGGAGGAGGAGGAGGAATGCCCAAAGAGGCCCCAGGAGGTCCCGGGAGGCCCAGAAGGCTCCAGGAGGCCCCAAGACGCCCCACGAAGAGGCAGGAGGCCTAAGGAGAAGGCAGGAGGACGAGGAGGGGGAGAATGAGGAGGAGGAGGCGGAGGAGTTGGAGACGAGGAGGAGGAAGCGGAGGAGGGAGAGGGAGAGGAGGAGGAGGAGAGAGAGGGGAGGAGGAGGAGGAGGAGGAGGAGGAGGAGGAGGAGGAGGAGGAGGAGGAGGAGGAGGAGGGAGAGAGAAAAGGAAAAGGAGGAGGAGGACAAGGAGGAGGAGGTGGTGGAGGAGGCAAGAGAGGAGGAGTCAGGGGTTGAGGCAGGAGGAGGGGCAAGCAGGAGGAGAAGGAGGAAGCAAGACCAGGTGGGAGAAGGGAAGGGGCAGGAGGATATCCCCAGGCAAGTTAAATCTATTATCGTGTGGGGTTGTACCGTCGGAGTAATTAATAGTTATACAGCTGGCACGATGCTTAATATCGAAAATCAAATACATACAAACACATAAGCTGCCGAAGGCACTCGCTAATTTCTTGGATCGGCGCTGGACCCACTCTGGCGGCGCCTACGGCGCTGCCCATGGCACGCTCCGCGCGTCAGGGGAGGGGGTCTGGCGCCGATCTTCTGGTCCTGATCTAAGATTCCTCATGGTAGCACGGCGATTGCAACCGATCATTGAAATTCAACATGCCTGGTCTCCAAGCGAGCATATTTGATTGTGCCTTGCTGCTTCCTGGCTGAGGAGGACAGGCGTGCGAAACACAGCAGGGGGGAGGGGGCGCGAGGGGAGGGGGAGACGGAGGGGGGAAGGAAATGGGAGAGGACGGAGCAGAGGGGTGAGGCTGGAGATGCAAAGAGAGGGGGTAGAGTGGACGGGTGGATGGGCCAGGGTTGGCGGCGCGCTCACTTGGGTGGCGGCAGGGGGGAGTCTTTTCAGAGGGAGGGGGGCGTCCTAGAGGTCCTCCAAGATATTGATAAGCCTTCTTGGAGGCCTAGGTCCCTTCTAAGAATGCCTCTTCCTTCAAGAAGCCCCCGCCTCTTTGGAAGGCCATCCCCCTCGCGCAATCCCGCCCACCTGTGCGCGACACCTAGAGGACATCCCGGACAACATGCGAATCATGGATATGTCATGGAGCGTTTGGGCTGCGAGCACACGCCTTCCGAGCGCCCGCAACAGGTGTGCCGTACCCTGCCGTCTACGTCACCGAGAAGTGGGACGGCACGACGATGCAGGCGAGGATGGAGCCTGTCCGTGTCATTCCCCCTTCTTGCTCATCCCGCTAAGACTACCCTGGCGAATGACCCAAACCTATGCAAGTGTTAGTTGCGCAATGCGCACTAGGGCGTGGCAGTTCCCAGACATCCTGGAACATCCCGTTTATGTCCTCAGAGGGGGTGAAGGGTTTCCCACCTGCAGACCCCCACTACATGTTTCTTGGGGGGGGGGTCGGTTTGTGGTGTCCGCCAGAGCTCCCTTGGGGGGGGCCTCGGAGTGCTAAGGGGTCAGGGTTTTCTCGTTACACCCCCCCTCCCCAGTGAAGGTGTTCTTGGGCATGTCAGGAAGGGGTAGCGAGGTTTCACCCTGGAACCTCCCCTCAGGTGTGATTGTTTTGGGGGGTAGGGGGGCTTTCCCCCCAGAACCTCCCTCAGGGGAGGTTCTTGGGTGCATTTGTTTGGGGGGAATAGGGAGGGTTTAGGTTCAGATTCAAACTTACCTGTCTGGTCTCTCCGATTCGCCAAGGGCTGTTCAACGTCAAAAATATCCGCGCTGATTCGTTGGATCGTATACAAGTGGCTTCAACAGTTCAAATGTAAATCGTATACAAGTGGCTTCAACAGTTCAAATGTAAAAAATGAAAACGCGAGCGCAGTGACACACCATTCAACGGTATTTGGCTGTTTGATTTCTTCGCGTCGCCCCAGCTAAATATATTATCGTGCGGGGTCCTACCGCCGGGGTAACATTTACATTGATTATGTTGTAGGCTGCTACGGTTTCGCCTCTGCCATCAGAGCCGTGATTGGCATGACTTGAATACGTTGCTTTTTGTTCGCAATAATGTCAATCAACACGACATAAGCTACTAGTGCATCCTATTCCCCCCGTCCTAAACGGGGCTTTTGTTGTCTAAGCACCGCCCCTGCGCAAGTTCTCTCCTCCCCTCGCTCTTCTTCAGTATTCACACACACACACACACACTCACAGCATGATCGACATCACCACGTCATCCTCACATATACACTCCTTCACACTCTGCCGATCAATTTCATACACCCATAATTTAGTCAGTATCTCACTCATTCATTTTTCGCGAGTGGCTCATTCACTCAGATAGAACTACCAGTGAGTGAATTGCGAGGCAGTCTCAGGCGGGAGAGCCCTCTTATGGAGCCCGCAAATCCGGTCACTAATCCGAGCGGGTCATCGGCAACGTGTGGTTGTCGCCATGTTTGGCCTCCTCAGGCCTGAATTTAGTCTCAGACGGGCGCCCCCTCCTTATGAAGTCCTTAAATCACGTTATTCATCCCTCAGGCCTGAAAGTGGAGGAAGTCTCGAGCGGAAGCTTCGTCTGTGAGTGAATCCCGAGGAAGTCTCAGGCGTGAACCCCTTCCTCCCGAGGGGGTTTGCATATCATGTTGGTTATCCGAACGGGTCATCGGAACCCTGTAAGTGTCGTCGCCGTTGGCTTCTTCAGGCCTGGATATGCAGGACGCCTCGAGCGGAAGCTGTGTTTGTGCTTGATATGTGAGGAAATCTCAGGCGGGAACCCCCTTCGGCATGGGGCTCGCAGATCATGTTGTTAATCCGAACGGGTCATCGGCACCGTGTAAAAGTCGTCGCCGTTGGCCTCTTCAGGCCTGAATATGGAGATTGTCTCGAGCGGGAACATCGTCTGTGAGTGGATCCCGAGGGCGTCTCAGGCGGGAGCGCCCTCCCTATGAAACCCGCAGACCACGCCACGAATCCGAACGGGCCATCGGGATTCTGTAATTGTTGTCAAGTTTGGCTTCCTCTGGCCTGAATATGGAGATCGTACCCATCGTTTGTGAGTAATGTGTAAGGAAGTCTCAGGCGGGAGCTCCCTCCCTATGGGGCCCGCACTATGCGTTAGTAATCCGAGCGGGGTCGTGCGAATCCCGTATTTGTTGTCACGTTTGGGCCCCTCGGGCCCCATTCGAAGTACGAGGAACGCTCGTCGAACCAGCTCCTTCCCCCCCGAGACCTACCGCAGGGAATCTGGCTGCAGGTGCAGGGCTTGAAGTAGGCTCCAATATACCAAGAGGTCGCCGAGCTGCTGCGACAAGGCGCCGAAGACGACGGCGAGGCCGAGGCGCGGGCGATGAGCGTGCTCATGTTCAGGCCCAGCGAGCAGTAGCTCACGTGGCAGAGCGCGGGGCCGCACGTCGTGCGCCGCTCGGGGTCGCCCTGACGCACGCGCTGTCGCAGGGCCAGTCGCTGTGGAAGGGCCTCACCATCGAATGCGCGAGTGACGAGACGAGGACGCTGACCGCGCGGGCACGTCGGACGATCTGTGGCGGGTGCGCCACTGCGTCACGCTCCCCCGCGCCACGGCGCGTGCAGAACACTCTGATCCCGCGGCCGCCTTCGCGCGAGTTTCTGGAGCGTGGGCCGCTGGCGTCCTTGCCGAAGGCGCTCAAGAAATCCAATGAGAAAGCGAAGAGCTTGCACCGCGGCTGGGCATCGCGGAGCGCCCCGCCTGGGCGCGGCCGCGCTATTTGGGGCCCGCGGGGTTGTCCCAACAGCCTGGCCCGCGGGGTTGTCCCGACGGTCTGCCCGCGCGCCCCGGCGGCCCGCGGGCTCGCCCCAAGGGCGTGGCCCGCGGGGTTGCCCCGAAGGCGCCGCGACCCAGCCGTCGGCGAACGCGCGCGCGTTGGCCGAAGCGGCGACGGCGCCGACGAACATCGATCTGCTTGCCCCGACCAGGGGGAACAGGAGGTGCACGTGGAGAAGAGGCGAGAGGAGGATGAGGACGGGGAAGGGGGTAGGGAGAGGGCGGCGATGAGGAGGAGGTGGAGAAAGAGGAGGAGGAGGAGGAGGAGGAGGAGGAGGAGAAGGAGGAGGAGGACGGGGGACATAGAAGGAGGAGGAAGAAAGGGCAGAGCTGACGGCGAAAGGAGGGTGTCCGCCAGGGTGAAAGACAAACTCGACAGATTCTCGTGCGGCGTCGTACCGTCGGAGGAATGATGTGAAATATGATCATGCGTGACCGCGTTGTTTCCAAACATCTACATGTATACTCACAGTCACACTTACGTTCGCATATCCGTCCACGTATACATGCGTCCATACGTGGGGCCACGGATGCGTCCACACAATTGGGTTATATGCGTCCATATGCTAACACATACGTCCAAGCACACACATATGTATATATGTCCATATCATACATAAGAGAGAATGATATATGATGAATGGGTTCTAAATTGTGTTGCATATGATTATGCGTATGTATATGTGTTTATAGGTGTCTATATATATATATATATGTATGCGCACACCGCAGCTTATATCATGTGGGTGACGAGCGATACGTACGATATATATATATATATATATACACGTATGTATGTATATATATGTATATATGTATATGTATATATAGATGTGTGTGTATGTATGTATGCATGTATGTATGTATGTATGTATGTAAGTATGTATGTATGTATGTATGTATGTATCTATGTATGTGGTTATAGCAAGCGATACACTGAGGGAGGCGAGCTGGTGGTTTCGACAAATGGAGATGGCCAAATCGTTTGCGTAATTTGCGGGTTTCCGAAGGCATGCGTTTCGCCGGACACATCCTCGGAAGCATGATATGTTGAAGTTGCTGTTGTGCGACAACTCTAGGGTGTGCTCTTGTGGCCCACCCAGACTGCCAAGAGGCGAACTCATTGAAAGATTACGCCATGCAAAGTGCCCGCCAAATTATCCATTCATCCACTGATTGGGTTTTTCTATGATGCAATATTTCCCCCGGTTCCCTCACCATCAGGGGGAGGTCTTGGGAGGGTTAAGGGGGGGAAGCATGCGGGGAGCATCCCATACTGGTGTGCCAAAACATGGCGGGGAGACGCATGCCGGCGCTGCCACTGGGATCTTCGGTGGGGCTCTTTATGCGGCACGAGACGTGTGAGGGGTATGCCCAAAGGGGCGGGGGACGCATGCGGGCGCTGCCAGTGGGTCCTTCGGTGGAGTTCCGCATGGGGCCACGAACAGTGTGAGGGATGTGCCAAAAGTGGCTGGAGACGTGTGCGGGTGCTGCCACTTTGGTTTTCGGTGGAGCTCCATTCGGGGCCAAGACGCATGTATGGAGTGTGGCGAAATTTTTGTTGATGACGATGGTGATGGTGATGGTGATGGTGATGATTGTGATGGTGATGGCGATTGCGATGGCGATGAGGACGCTCGGAGTGCAGAGGCAGGGGTGGGAGGAGGAGGGGAAGGAAGAGGAGCGGGGAGGAGGAACGTGGGGCGCTGCTGATTCAAAGCGAGGACGCAACACCACAGGATGGTTGGGAGTACATCGTCGTAAACAGAAGCTTTCGGGTCCTCGCGGATCTCTCGGATTGGCGCCGGGGCCCCTCTTGGCGGCGCAGGAGGCCCTGCCATTCCGAACGTTTGCGCTTGTGCATATGGTTGTTCTTCCTTGTCAGCGCTGCTGCTCTGTGTATCCTCCCCGCCTCCCCCCTCCACTCTTGGCCCCTTTCCCCATCCTTCCCGAAACCGCAGGCCACCTCCAGCCACATCTTCAAGCGGCTCGACCTGTGGGGGAAGCGGCGGGACGGCCAGGACCCTTCGCAGCGCTACGACCTGCGGCTCCTGGCCTGGAGGGACGAGGGCACACACGGCGAGTGGCGCGGGCTCGAGTTCCTCGACGCGGACTTTCGGGTTGCCGAGGCCCGACGGAGCGGCGATGCGATGACCCATTCCGAGCGATCAGAGCAGTGGCCTGCTTTCCCCCTGTCGTCCAGTCGGTTGACGGATGGGACCCGAGCTGTTCTTCACCGTCGACCCTTGGTGCGATTCGGGCCGCCCTGTGGGACTTCAAGAGAGAAGCTCCGAGGCTAACCAGACGAGCAGCCACGGTCGCTCCGCGCGGGACGCTGGTCGGCCCATCGCTTCCCAGGGACGTCTCGCGCGTTTGTTCGTTCGCGTGGGTGGAAAACATATCGATATCCACGGCCTCGCGGTCCTGGCTCGTCAGCCGCTACACAGAGGATACGGAGGGGGGCTTTGCGCGGATGCCCCACGCGCAACGTATGCATGCGATCAAGTATGCATGGGATCGCGCCCCAGAATCCAGAATTTGAGGGCATGGATATGGACAGGTTCGTCCCTCGTGACTTCTGTTCCTCCCATCCCCGCTCTCCCTCCCAATCCTTCCCTTACCTCTCTCCGCAGAGACGAGGCCGAGGGGACATGGGGGCCCACAAGCGATCCTCCGGCTGCGCTGCCCCTGCCGCCTGCTCTGGCGCGTTCGCTCGCAGACCTGGTAAGGACGTGATGAAGACACCACCCACAGAAGCATTTGAGCGCCTCGTGGAGCTCAAGTGCCAACGTCGAATGTGTTTTCAAATTCATCTAACCATATGTTTGGTCGTAAGCGCTTACTGTAGCAGAAGTACAAGTGGCATACACATAAGCTGTGGGAGGTTTGCGCGGATTTCTTGGGTCTGCGTTGTATCCCTTGCCCCTGCGCGCTGGGAGCGACGCCGTGGGGTGAGATGTTGGGTCAGATATGCGATTTTTGTTTGCAGATTGCCGACCTTCTCGGGACAGGCGCTCCGGCCGCACCTCGCCTCGCTCGCTGCGTTGCCCGCGGGACTCTGCGCCTATTTCGAGGTGGTCCACACGGAGATAAACGCGACCTTCCGGCATTTGGCTGGCTACGCCGACACCTCGGAGGTTGCCAGAGGTGCCCTTGCTCCAATCAGGCACGCCTAGGATGATGATAACATCGATTCAGAGCTTTCTGGAACGCGTGAAGAACTTTCCAGGGCGCTCAGAAATGGCCACGGCGCCAGGTACATCATCCAGGGCCGCCCGCTCTCAGAGAATCCACAGTTCTTGAATGGAGCGCCCCTGAGCGGACAGGCACCGCCTCCCCACGTTTTTGGACGCGTGGAGATTTGGGGAGGCTTAGATGGAGGGAGAAGAGGGCAATTGGAAATGGCCCCAGGGAGCGAGAAGAGGGTCCAAGACATCCCCAGAGGGCCCCCAAAACGCCAAATATTGCCCAAGAGGGCCCCAAGCGGCTCCGAAAACGGCCCCAAAGGGAAGGTGTCCAAAACGGTAAACGAAACTGAAGCGGGATACGGGGAGGTAAAAGGGAGCAACGCGAGTTAGATTGGGGCCCTCAGAAGGCCACCCGGAGACCCCTTGGGCGCGCCCAAGACGGCTCTAAAGCAATCCATAAGGGTGGCCCAAGTTCGGATCGAGAGGCCTTCAGGACGGCTCCAGAAGCCTTGGAGATATTCCAAAGTGGCCGGAGAGGCCCCAAGAGTGCCACAAGAGGCTCCACGAGAGCTCCAAGAGGCGCAATAACAAAACAACATAAAGGAACATGATTGAGATCCATCGGGCTTTGAATGCTTTTGTTGGCTTCTTCGGCCAGCGGACGCCCGTTGTGCAGCCGGGGCCCCGGGCCCAGCGGAATGAGCAGGGCGTTGCGCTCTGGAAAAGTATGGTTACGGGGAATGCGTGGGTAAGACGACTGAGGGGGAAACAGTCCTTGCAGACGATCTCACACGCTGTACCTGGTGGGGCGGCGGATCGCTTCTCTCATACCGCCGGCAACTACTGCATGCGGTGTTTAGTGGCCTTCGGCCAGACTGGATCGTGGACAAGAGGCCTTCTTCGGAGGTCGGATCTCTTGGGAGGCCTCTCTGCGGCCTCGTGGCCGCAGTTCGGGGCCTCTTGGGGGCCTTCTGAGGCCTCTCGGGAGGGTCTCTGTGGGCCTCTTGGGGGCCCCGTGGGGGCTTGCTGGCGGTCTATGGGGCCATCTTCGGGGGGAAGGGCTCCAAATTGTAAGTTCGGATTCCTCTCTTGGGGCCCTCTTGGGGCCTATACAGCTCCCTTCATGGGCCTCATGGACCGTATCGGGGAATTGGGGGGCTCCTGGGTCGTCTTGGGGCATCGGAAGCACGAAAACACGATACCGTGAAACTCCGTCAACCCTTTTCTAGGACATCAGGAAGTTTTGCCCCTCGGGGCCTTCGTGGGGGTTCCCTTTGGGCTCTCTCGAGACGTTTCGGAGGCGTCTCGGGCTATCCAGACATTATCCGTAAGGGCTTCGCCCCCTGCCGCCGGCCCCCTCTCTAGGAGAATGGGCCATGGAAGAGCTAAGTCATGAGGCCTTGGCGCTGTCGTGAAGCAGTATCGAAACTTCATGCGAAGCCGATTCGCAATCAGCAAAACCAACTGATCACAAGAGGGGTTACCACACCTGGCGATTGGTAAGACGTGTATGGTTTACGGGCTTGGTTACCACACCTTGCGATTAAAGGGCCGAGGGAGTTCTCGCAGTTTGGGTTACCACGCCTTGCGATGGATGTGCGTGAAGGGTGGCACCGAATTTCAGAAATGTGGCAAATCCCATGTGTTTTTGGACCCTGACCCCGCGGATCTGCGTGAGGGGTGGCACCGAATTTCAGAAATGTGGCAAATCCCATGTGTTTTTGGACCCTGACCCCGCGGATCTGCGTGAGGGGTGGCACCGAATTTCAGAAATGTGGCAAATCCCATGTGTTTTTGGACCCTGACCCCGCGGATCTGCGTGAGGGGTGGCACCGAATTTCAGAAATGTGGCAAATCCCATGTGTTTTTGGACCCTGACCCCGCGGATCTGCGTGAGGGGTGGCACCGAATTTCAGAAATGTGGCAAATCCCATGTGTTTTTGGACCCTGACCCCGCGGATCTGCGTGAGGGGTGGCACCGAATTTCAGAAATGTGGCAAATCCCATGTGTTTTTGGACCCTGACCCCGCGGATCTGCGTGAGGGGTGGCACCGAATTTCAGAAATGTGGCAAATCCCATGTGTTTTTGGACCCTGACCCCGCGGATCTGCGTGAGGGGTGGCACCGAATTTCAGAAATGTGGCAAATCCCATGTGTTTTTGGACCCTGACCCCGCGGATCTGCGTGAGGGGTGGCACCGAATTTCAGAAATGTGGCAAATCCCATGTGTTTTTGGACCCTGACCCCGCGGATCTGCGTGAGGGGTGGCGATTTCGAGCCCCCCAAGCAATTCAGACAACGCACGCTAAAAAGCCGGTTTGGGCCTCCCCCCACTAGCGCGGTCAATCAACTATCAACTAGTTACAGTAACCGGCAAGAAGGAGAACAATCAACTAGTTACAGTAACCAGCAAGAAGCAGAATTGTAACACTGGAAACTACAAGCTACAACTGGTACAGGAGGCTGCGAACCCCGCTCCTACAGCCTGGTGGCCCCACAAGGGGGCCGGCGGATTTTGGGCGTCTTCGACCGTCTCGGACCATCTGGGGTTCTCTTGGAGGTACATTCCGTCTGGGGCTTTCGGTAAGGCTCCCTGTGGGGCCACAAATGTTGCACAGGTCGCGCCGACGCATGCGAACGGCCAGTGGGGTCTTCGGTGGAATTTCCGATGGGGCCACGAAGCGCTGTACTGGTGGGCGCGGGCGCATGCGAACGTTCCTTTTTGGGTTTTCGGTGGGGCCACGAAGCGCTATAGGCTATACTTGGTGGCGCGGACGCGTGTCAACGCTCCGTCTGAGGCTTTCGATAGAGCTCCCGATGGGCCACGAAGCGCTATATGGCGTGCCGCGGACGCATGCGAACGCGGCTATCGATGGAGCTCCCCATGGAGTCACGACCCGCGTGAGGGATGTGCCGAAGTGGTTGACGTTCGGAGGGCAGTGGCAAGGATGAGAGAAGGGGAAAGAAGAGGAGGAGGAGGAGGAGGAGGAGGATAATGACGAGGAGGACCACTTTAAACCCAATGCGCATCAACGATGTTGGAATACACACTGTCTCCAAGATCCCGTGTCAGAGGCCCCTACAAGGGGCCATTTCCTCTGAGGGAATTGCCTTGTTGGGAGACAACCGTGTGGACATCTTGAAGCGTGCAAATGCAGAACACCACTGTCAGGACTTCAACGCAACGAGTTAACCTGACTGTTACGTCTTGGCGATCCTGAGTCGTGACAGGACACCATTTCTGGGATTTCGACACCGCGAATCAAAGTAATTGTTGCGCCCTGGCAATCCTGAATCGTTCCAAAACCGTACCTGGTACGTGAACCATGAGAATCAGTGAAATTATGCGCGGTTATACTGCGAAAGCCACATTTTGCAAACGAGCCACCCTCAATCCGTGAAGTTGTTGCAATGTTTGTTGAACGAATGTGCGCGGCGCTGAGGCGAAAGACAGATTTTGGACCCCCCCGCATTCAGTCCGAGAAATTGTTGTCATTGTTTAAACTGAGTGTGCGCGGCGCTATGGCGAGACCACATTTTGAAACCCACCAGCCCTCAATCCGTGAAGCTCCTGCACTTGATTAGGTGAATGTGCGCGACGATAGGGCGAGAGTCGCATCTTGAGAACAAACCCGCCTCGAGCCGTGAAATTTTTGCAGAATTCAAAAATGTTTGTGCGCTGCGCTAAAGCGAGATCCGCATTTTGAAAACGAGCCGCCCTGTCCGTGACGCTGTTGCAATGTTTGTTGAACGAATGTGCGCGGTGCCAGGGCGAGAGCCAGATTTTGGACCCCCCCCGCCCTTCAATGCGAGAAACTCTTGCAGATGGTTTATATGAATTTGCGCGGCACAAAGGCGAGAGCCACATTTTGAAGACGGCCCGCCCTCAATATGTGAAATGATTGTCAATTTGTCGTATCATGTTCCTAAGAGGTGAGGAAGTCTCAGGCGAAACGCCCTGCTCGCCCCTTCGACCGGCCTCGGGGTGCGACAGGGAGGAGTTGGAGTTGTCTATAATGAATGGAGAGGAGAGGAGAGGAGAGGAGAGGAGAGGAGAGGAGAGGAGAGGAGAGGAGAGGAGAGGAGAGGAGAGGAGACGCGGGGCGCAGTCTTTTCAAAACCAGAACCCAGTACATCAGGATGGTTGTGAAAAACATCCCTGACCCAGAGGTGGCGAGGCTGTGCCTGGGGTATTTCTTCGCCCGGGGACCCACAGGGGCGGCCCCGCGCGCGCGAAACATGTTACTGGAGATCTCAGCTGGAGATCTCAGTACGCCTCGTGCCCGCTAGGCCAGCCAGTTTGTCTCGATCCAGATTTATCTTCATTCTGCCTTCCCTTTGACCATGCTGTCCTGGGGACCTCCAGAGCACCCCTCAAGAGGCCCAGAGGGTCCCATGCGGCCCACGATGCGCCAAGAACTGGGGGCAGCTTGAGCCATGGCCATGACCACCTCCTGGCAACCTCCGAATATCCGCGTGTTCGACTTCTCCAAGGCAGGGTGCGGATTCTTGCCCTTCGAGGAGACAATGCGGCGCCAGGAGGGGGGGCACCTGGCAGCGTGGGCGCTCCGTGGGTACGCATGCGATAAGCTAGGTAGTGCCAACGGGCTGTTCTGTCGTGCCTTCAGACCCACTTTCAAGATGGAGAAGGGGGTAATACCAGGAGCGGGACGCACACGTGCCGGGGTCATTTCCGTTCTATCGATCCGATTCGATGTCGAGTTCGGTTGGACCGGTCCGATTCGATTCCGATATTCCGCCGTTTCGATGCGGCCCGATGGGATGAGGTGGGGGGAGGCGGAGGGAGGACTGAGGAGGAGGAGGAGGAGGAGGAGGGGGAATTGAGCAGAGGAGGAGGAATGACGGATGCGACGAGGCCAGATGAGAGCGATGAATGCAAGCCACCCCGTGATTCGGAGAGCAGCATGAGTAGGGAGGAGGGAGGGATGCAGGAGGAAGGAGGAGGAGGAAGCAGTACGAAGGGGGGGGAGGAGGAAGGACGGAGGAGGGTGGAGGGATGGAGGGAGGAGGAGGAGAAGGCGAAAGGAGGACGGACGGAGTAGGGGAGAGGACGAGGAGGAGGAAGAAGGAATGAGCAGGGGGGTGGGACACAGGAGGGTGGCGGAGTGCTGGGATGACGGTGGCGGACGTCCGCTCTGACGGGCGCCCGCGCCCTGGCCGCCTGGCAGTCGACCTCGCCGCGGAGGCTGGGCTCCCGCTGGTCGGCTGGGTGCGCAGGCCGGGAGACGGGGCTTGTCGGGGTCGCTTGCAAACAGCGACCACGACGACGACGACGACGATGATGATGATGATGATGATGATGATGCTGATGCTGATGATGATGATGATGATGATGATGATGATGATGATGATGACGATGATGACGGTGATGATGATGATGATGATGATGCTGATGATGCTGATGATGAAGATGATGAGGATGACGATGATGATGTTGATGATGATGACGATGAGGATGACGATGACGATGTTGATGGTGGTGCTGATGATAATGATGGGGCGACGTCGGCGACGAGGATGATTAGCATGACAATGCTTATCATGATGGCTGGACGATGAGGGTAACGGTGATGCTGCTGATGATGATGGTGATGCTGATGCTGATGCTGATGCTGATGATGATGATGATGATGATGATGATGATGATGATGATGGTCGTGGTGGTGGTGGTGATGATGATGATGGTGATGACGATGCTGCTGGTGATGGTGATGGTGGTGGTGGTTGTGGACGTGGAGGGGGTGGTGGTGATGATGTTGGTGGTGGGGGTGGTGCTGATGATGATGATGGTGGTGATAATGACGACGACGATGACGATGACAACAACGAATAATAGTTATATGGATGGTGATGACGACGATGAGGAGTGTAGTTATGGTGGTGATAATGGTGCTGGTCCTGGTAGTAATGATGATTTTTGCGGTCAGGAACTGCTGCTTAGCGTGTCGCTCCGCCGGTTCTGGCCCACCACGCTTCGGCGCGCCACGTTGACCACCTCCCAGACCCCAGGCGTGAACGTCCCGAGCTTTTCCCAGTCTCCCGCCCGCGGATCGGATTGACGCGCTATCCGCTTGCAGCGCATAGCGTGTCGGGCCGCCGCCGCCACAGCGTGTAGCCATGCAGGAAATCGATCCGAAGGTCTTTCTATGTTTTCGAGCTCCCGGGGCCCTGCACGTGCCCTGGCTGCATTGGGGACCCTGATTGTGAGGACGAGGGTGCGGAGAGAAGAAGATCAGGAGGCATAAACGTGTCGGAGGTCCGCGGGAACATTGGTGCAATTGATGATGGTGGTGGTGGTGGCGATGATGATGATAATGATGATGATGATGATGATGATGATGATGATGGTGGTGATGGTGGTGATGGTGGTCATGGTATATAATGATCCTGGTGATGGTGATGTTGATGGTGATGGTGACAGTTATGATGACGATGATGACGACGATGATGATCACGATGATGATGGTGATGATCGCGATGATCATGGTGATGATGATGATGATGATGATGATGCTGATCATCATCATCATCATCATGAGCATGATCATCGCCATCATCCTCCTCATGATCATGCTCAGGATCATGATCATGCTGATGATGGTGACGATGCTGATGATGATGACGCCAACGACGATGATGATGATACTGACTGATGATGGTTATGCTGCTGCAGATGATGATGGTGATGTTGATGATGATCATGAGCAGGAGGAGGAGGAGGATAATCTGAGGGAGGACAGTCGAGGCGACGGTGGCCCTCCTGACGATTACTCGTACTTTGAGGCTCTGAGATGCTTCTCGTCGCCATGGTTGGATCCTCCTCGAAAACCTAGTCAGGATGGACCCTGGGAGGGTTCTTGGAATTTTTGTTGAGCGGATTTGGTCTGGGCAGGGGAGCCGCCAATGTCTCAATTGTCCTTCATCCGATATTAGGGGGCGCCCGCAGACGCTGAGGATGATGGTGGTGATGATGATGACGACGGTGATGACGACGATGATGTTGAGAATGATGTTGGTGATAATGAGGTGGATGATGATGAGGATGAGGATGCTGATCTTGATGATGGAGATGGTGATGGTGGTGGTGTTGGTGTTGATGGTGATGGTGATGATGATGATGATGACGATGACGATGATGATGATCATGCTGATGATGGTGATGTTGATGGCGTTGACGTTGACGATGACAATGGCGATGGCGATGGCGATGATGATGAGGATGAGGATGAGGATGAGCATGATGGTGGTGATGATGAGGATGACGATTATGTTGATTATGCTGATGGTGGTGATGCTGATGAGGATGATGATGATGAGGATGCTGAGGAGGAGGAGGATGATGAGGATGATGATGAGGATGATGATGGTGATGACGACGACGATTGTGATGATACTGATGACGATGATGATGATGATGATGATGATGATGATGATGATGATTATGATGACGAGGGTGATGGCGATGATTATGATGCTGATGATGATGATCATGCTGATGATGATGATGATGATGATGATGATGATGATGATGATGACGACGACGACGATGATGATGATGATGATGATGATGATGATGATGATGATGATGATGATGATGATGATGATGATGATGATGATGATGATTATTATGGTGATGACGACGATGATGACAATGTCCACAAGCACGAGTAGGATTAGGATGCGGAAGAATCGGGCAGACGAGGCGGGGCACCCTGTCAATAATTCAATGCACCCGTGTGCCGCGTCTCATGTCGCAGGCACGTCTGGGGACGGGATTTCTCTGTGAAGAGGCTCGTTGTCGTCTCGGGTGCCCTCTACAGTCGGCACCGTCTACGGTGATATGTTTCAGGCTTGCTGAGCGTGGGCCACGGGCAGCATCGGGAGGGCGGCGGGGGGGGGGCACCGTCTGTTGCTGGGCCCTTGCGCAGCTCACTGCTCGCCTGGACTGGCCTCAGGGGTCCTGGCTGCCTTCCTTGTTGGCAGTATTTCGCCCCGACCCCGTTTTCGATGGACAGAAGTCCCAAAACCCAGACCTCCGACGGTATGGCTGTTTTAATGCTGGCGTTGATCTTCGACTTTCACGTTTGAGGATAAGGATCATGACCTTTTGGGGCCAAGCATTAAACAAAACACATCGTCGTATGTTCGGGAACGGCCACACCGTCGGGTGAGTCAGTTGGGGTCTGGGGCGACCGCACGGTTTGGGATTTGGGTCGCTCTGCGAAAATGTCTTCGGCGAGTAGGAATTCCGAGATCCCAGATACATGCGGTGATTGGCCGTGCTGTCAGGCCCTCGAGGATTTCCAGGTCACCGCAGCGGCCCTCACCGCACCGTGATGGGAGCCCCAGGGCACGGCCCCATGGTGGCCGACATGAGGGAAAGAGCGGCGGGATCGCGAGGGTCGAGATCCGCCCGAAGTCCGGGTCCAATGCCCGGGCCCCGAGCCCCCCCGCCGCCCGCGGATCGCTGGGTCGGCCTCTCACAGCGCGAACCCCAGCCCAGGGAGCGCCTCTGCGCGGAGGAGCTCTGGCGCGAGCTGGCCGCCGCGGCGGCCGACGGGAGGCCTCGGGGGCGTGGAAGAGGAGCATCCGATGTCGACGACCCGAGGGTGTCGAGCCCAGAGCCCCTCGCGTCGCGACAGCAAGTAGAACCGCGGCGGTCGGTGTTCGGCAGTTTCCAGCCCCTGGGGGCCCTCACCTTGCCCCAGGATGTTCGAAGCACGGATCGGGATGGACAGCTTATCCACGGGAGGGGGTCCAGACCTCTGGGGGTCCATTTAAGTCAAGACGCTGGAGGTCTGGCCCAGGTGTGTGTGTGTGTCTGGACATCATGACTAGAGCCTTGACATCTCTCTGATGTCCTGGCCCCCTCTTCTGTCTATTTCGATCCGATCGATGATTCGATTTCGAGTTCGGACGGCTTCATCTGACTCGATACCAATATTCCGACGATTCCATGCGGCCCAATGTTTTCCTGACGTGTTGTGCCCCTTGTCGTAACCAGCCCGATCCGACGCACAGTTCGATCCGATCCGATTTCCCGATTCGATGTCGATTGATCCTGCCATCGTCCGCTTGCACGCCTCAAGCCATGGCGCGCCTCCCCTCGAATAAGGACACGCGTTACATCATCAAAAATGTTCGGAGCTATGTGCGGACCTCCGAAAGTGTATGTAAATGCAGTTTGCTCCTCCTCCAGACCCTTCTCTCTCCTCTAACCCCCCCTCTTCGGCGCACCCGGGAGGCAGTACGGCACCGCCGCCGCTGCCCTGGAAGGTTGGCGGCCGTTCCCCGAGGTTATCCGGCTGCCCGCGGCAAGTCCCGCCACCGTGCCTCCCCAGCAGTATGGGTAGCGACCCTCCGAGGGCGCACGGGGGCCTCAACTTGTGACATGCCTCGCCTCCACGCCTTGAGGAGCTTCTCGTGGGGCATATTTGGACCGTCCTAAGGTTGCCTTGGGTTCTTGAGGGGCAGTGTTGGCGGTACATTGGGCCACTCTTGGGCCGTCCTGGGCTTCCCTTGGGCAGTCTTGGGGCCATCCTGGAGGTGTATAGAGCCGTGTGGGGCTGAAGGAAGCCCGAAGAGGTCAAGACGCCCAAACATGTCTAAACGCATGTTTGGCAACTCCAAGATGTTATAAGCTATTGTTTTCTTCGAGCCTTACTAGGTGTCATCTTGTGGCCCTGCTGGGCCAGTAAGGTCGTCTTGGGGGCCTTTTGGGCCGTCATGGGGCCGCATAGGATATAGGGCTGCCGTGGAGGTAGATTGGACGCATTCTGGGTCTTCTTGGCGGCCTTGGTCACCTGCCTCGGCCATGTTGGAAGCTCTGGAGCCCTGGTTGACGTATTTACGAGGGAACGTGTCCTCGGGAGCGCGGGCCCATGGTTGTCTACGAAAGGGGGGTGGCGATGCATGCGGAGGGATGTAAGGAGGAGGGAGGGGGCCCCTTCGAAGATGAACTAAACCTTGACAGCGCTTGGCAGTCTACCACACCTCAAACGTGCCAGGGGGCACGGTGGCGGATGCACCGCGGTATTCTAGGGGGAGGGCACCCCCTCGTCGGGAGGGGAGGCGGGCTCCGAGGGGGTCCTGAGGGGACGGGGGAGTGGGGAAGGCAAGCGGTAGTTTGACATTCGAGGTTTTGGGTTTTCGGCCGCTTACCTACTTCAACCTATTCCCAGGGCCTCTTCCAGCCTCGGGGTGGTTCCAAGCAGCTGCGCCGCCTCGCCGAGAGCTTTGCGGGGGTCCCCGATCGTCCCAAACGGCCGCCCGATACACGACAGACGACCCGAGTGCTAAACACCCCCTCCCGCCATGAAGGGAAGGGGTCCTGAGGGACAGGTGTCCTGGGTCCCATCACCCTTTTAGGACCCACCCGGGCCCTCCTCGGGATGAGGAGCTGGTCCTGGGGAGAGCCCCACGGGATCCAGGACCAGTTTCCGCCAGGATCCATGTCCGTCATGACAGCGGAGGGAGGAGTAGAGGGAGCCCCGCGGGAACGAGCTTCGGGCAAGCAGGCCTGGGCCTCCGCCCCCGCCCCGCCGCCCCGCCCCCTGACACTCTGTCGGGGCGTCGGAGTGGGGGATCAGGATTTGGGCTTTTGTGGCCTGTGGATACCCTGGCCAGGGCCATGCAACGTGCCAGAAGTCATGCCTCCTGCCCTCTTCTTTCACTACGTATCATGGCCCCCGTCCTCCCAGCCACGACGCGCCAACCCCCCTTCGGTCGCCCAACATCGGCGCACCCAAGTCTGCAGTGCGTACAGCCGGTGTCAAGATGGATACCCTGGACCTCGGGGAGCCCGCGCGGAAGGGTTCGTCGTCCGCGAGGCTGGGCGGACTTCAACTCGCCACTCGCCACGGGAGGCCGGGATGGAAGAGTACGTCCTTCGAGCTTCTACCTACTCCTCCCCATCACGGCCCACCTCCGTTGACGACGACGACGATTCAGAGGAGCTAGAGGTCATTTTATTGAATCGCTTCGCTCATTCCGTTTGCCCATAATGCGTAATCGCTGGGGTTTGGCTGCGCGTCCGTGGGCCATGCTGCGCTGATGGGGGGGGGACGTTGTTTTCGGTGGTGGGTGCACCAGTCCGGTGTAGTTGGTTCGACGTTTGCGGCTGTCAGTGGTTTGTGGCGCCATCGTCTGCTCTCATGGGGCTCGCGGATGGTGGTTTGGCGCGGTCCGCCAATGGAGCCCCGCTTTCTGGAGGTTCCAGGGTTCAGTCGGGCTTTGCCTGCGGTTGCCTTGGCGTGTTTAGGGGTGCTCTGTTTGTGGTGCGAGGGTGTTGGAGGCCGTTTGGGGTCTCTTGGGAAGCCTTTCGAGGGCCTCTTGGCAGTATTTCTAGAGCCTCCTGGGGCCTCCTGGGGGCCTCCTGGGGCCTCCTGGGGGCCTCTCGGGGGCCTCTTGGGGGCGTTATGAGGTCTCCTGGGGACGTCTTGCGGCTTAGAGCGCGAAATGTCCGTTCCGGTACCCCGTCGGGGCCCGGTCTTGGAGCCGTCTTAGGGGCATCTTGGGCCATCTTGGAGGTTTCTGGGGGTCTCTTAGGGCTCTCTGGGGTCGTTTCGGAACGGTCTTGAACCCTCGTAGGCCGTATTGGGGCGATATTGATGGCTTTGTGGGCCGTCTTGGAGCGCTAGTAAGCCGAAGAGGCGAGAACGCCAAAATCCCCCAACAAAAACAAATGAAAATCATCAATTTTGGCTTGTTGGGGGCCTCTTGGGAGGTTTCTTGGACGCATCTTGGGGCGTCTTGGGAGCATCTTGGGCCGTCTTGAGGCCTCTTGGGGGCGTTATGAGGTCTCCTGGGGACGTCTTGCGGCTTAGAGCGCGAAATGTCCGTTCCGGTCCCCCGTCGGGGCCCGGTCTTGGAGCCGTCTTGGGGCATCTTGGGCCATCTTGGAGGTTTCTGGGGGTCTCTTAGGGCTCTCTGGGGTCGTTTCGGAACGGTCTTGAACCCTCGTAGGCCGTATTGGGGCGACATTGAGGGCTTTGTGGGCCGTCTTGGAGCGCTAGTAAGCCGAAGAGGCGAGAACGCCAAAATCAAAAAAAAACATCAATTTTGGCTTGTTGGGGGCCTCTTGGGCTTGGGGCGTCTTGGGCGCATCTTGGGCCGTCTTGAGGCCTCTTGGGGGCGTTATGAGGTCTCCTGGGGACGTCTTGCGGCTTAGAGCGCGAAATGTCCGTTCCGGTACCCCGTCGGGGCCCGGTCTTGGAGCCGTCTTAGGGGCATCTTGGGCCATCTTGGAGGTTTCTGGGGGTCTCTTAGGGCTCTCTGGGGTCGTTTCGGAACGGTCTTGAACCCTCGTAGGCCGTATCGGGGCGATATTGAGAGCTTTTTGGGCCGTCTTGGAGCGCTAGGAAGCCGAAGAGGCGAGAACGCCAAAATCCCCAACAAAATATGGGAAATCATAAATTTTGGCTTCTTGGGGGCCTCTTGGGAGGTCTCTCGGACGCATCTTGGGCCGTCTTGGGAGCATCTTGGGCCGTCTTGAGGCCATCTGGGCCGTCTTGGGGCGCTCTTGGCTCCAGGCTGCTGGGCCTGCCACATATTTGGCGCCTCCTTGGAGCGCTCCTGGAGCGCTCCAGAAGCCTCCAGGGCCGCGCCCAGGAAGTCCGGCATCTCTGGCCCCCACCCTGCCGGGGACCTGCCGGGGTACTTTTCGCCCGGGGACTCCTAGGGGCCGCCCCGCGCGCGCGAACTAGAAATACTGTTTACCTGTTACCGGAGATCTTAGCACGCCCTGGCCCGTTGGGCCGGCGAATTGATACATTCTAGTTTTCCAGGTATTCTTGCTCTTCTGTGGGGGGCCGATGGACACTCTGAGCTCCTGGAACGTATCCTGAGCCAATCGCGTCATGCCATCATTCTCGTTTTAACGACGGCCCCCAGATGTCTCAAGAGGTCCTTCGGGGCCTCCAGAAGCCTTCGGACATCCTGGGCGGCCACAACGGGGCCAGGACACGCCCAGAAACGTGACTTTCGGTCCTCCTTACTCGATCCTTCAGGGAGCCATCGAAGACGCTTACGGCGAACCACCGCCGCCGCTGACTTCCTTGCTTCGAAGCAGAACAGCGGTTGCATAGGCATACACTTTCGGAGGCCCGCCCAGAGTTCTTCGATGGGCGCTGGCCCCCCCTCGCTGGCGCGCAGAGCGCGCCATGGGCGGTGCCGCAGGCGCCGCCAGGGAGGGCCGCCTCCGAAAGTGAAGTTTCACGCGGATTTGGCTGTTGTTCCTCCATGCCTCTCGCAGGCCGGCTCCAGCGCCCGGGTGGCGAAGGCGAGGGTGGAGCAGATCGTCGGGGATGCCGTCGCGGCCCCGCGGGCCGCCGCGGGGCCTGCTGGCCTGCGCGTGCCGAAGGCGGGCCGGCTGACCGCTCGTTGCCGCTGCCGCCGCATTTGCGGCCCCACGTTCGGCTTGCCCTCGCGCTTCGCACAGCAGTGTTGGGACGTCTCGCCTCAAAGACGAACGACCACACAGATTTGCAGAAGCATAAGGTCCGCGCAGATGTCCACCCCTGGCGGCGTCTCAGGCGCCGCACTTGCCGGCGCCTCGGGCGCCGCCCTTGGCGAGCTCCATACGCCAGGGAGGAGGTCCAGCGCCGATCCAAGATATCCGAGCGGGTCTCCGAAATTCTATGTTTACGCAGTCGTTCCTCCTGATCACGGCGTCTTCCCGATCCTGACCAACCTCACCCGTTTCCTGGATTATGTGAGGTGTTTACGATCCTCATTCCCATCCATCCGCCCAGGCGCCAGGAAGTGAGGCCCCCACCCCCGAAAAGCGCCCGAGGAGTCATTCTTGCTCGGCCCTCCCACGGAAGCAGTGCTTGGAAGCTCTGCCTCCTCTTCCTGATGTGTCACGCACCTGCGCAGCAGGGAGGCCTCTGAATAAGGGGCGCGCTCTTTGCGAGGGTACGGTAGGATCAAGTTGCGTCGACTTTGTGGCGACCACGGAGCGGGCGTTCAAGGTTGAACGCCAGTAGTGTCCTGAGTCGGCCGACACCGACCGATCCACGCTGTCTGAAAGCCGTGATCGCTCAAGGTGGAACGATCCACGCAGTGTCAGAAACCAACCCCGACGTCGTCACGATAGGAGCTTGCCGTACCGAGGCGAGGTCGAACAGCACCACAAATGCCAACCCGCTCTAAACTCCCAATGCCAACCCGCTCTAATGTCTATCCAACGGTTTATTGACCCGAACAACAGGTTTTCGCCACGTGCTTGAGTGCACCTGCAGCTTGGTTTGCTGCGTCTGGATGCATTTCGCATCCAGTTTGAAAAAGCCCGAAGGCGGTCGGGGCCGATGTTTCAAGCCCAGGCGCGCTTGGAGCCTGGTCAGCCAAGACGCTTGCATACCGACAAGTTGAGACTCAGGAGTGGCTCTGGCTTTCGGGCCGCTCTTCAGATCTGGATCGGGGAGCCTGGTCGTGGCCGAGGCTCGCCGTGGCCAGGAACGCTCCTCGGCTCATGCAGCGTCCATCACGGTAGCCCCATGACAGTGTCTGCCCGTCGAGCAGAAGCAACGTTGGCCAGACGATGTCCTCAGCGCGTTAATGTCTCTGGACAAGCGCGAACTGGGCTTGCGGGCAAGGGGTGAACGGGCAACGCGCGGCGCCTGAAGGACGACGCGCGTGTCATGACATTCTGTCTGGCGGTGCATAGAGGGGGGTGGCGCGAGAAGGGTGGGCCTCTGAGAAGGCGGTGGGCTTCTCAGGCGGCAGGGGCCATCTTGGAAGCGCTTGGAAGGCTTCTGAGAAGCCGGGAGGGCTTCTGAGGAAGCACCCCCTTGCGCGCGATGCATCGACCCGAGGCCTCCGCCCTCTGGTGGGACGCGGCCCACCTGGAGGTCATCGGCGTGTGCGCCCTCGGCCTCCCCGCGGCGCCCGCCCACCGGCTGTGGAGCCCCGCCGAGGGCCGGCCTGGCTGAGTCGCAGTTGCGCGCGGGCGTCGTGCCGCGTGCCGCCCTCCGCTCGCTCGGCCCCGTTTCCCCCCTGCCGTCCCTTTCCGCTCTGGCTCGGCCTATCGTTCTCTCTCTCTCTCTCTCTCTCTGTCTCCCTTTCTTTCTCTTTCGCTCTCTCTATTTGCTCCCTGTGTCTCCCTCTCTTATTGTCCAGACTTCCTGGGTTGGATTCTCGTTGTGAATAGAGCGCTGTGGTCGCGTCTCCCCTCCCTCGCCCCCTTCTCTCTCCTGCCTTTTTCCAGCCCTCCCAATCCTCCTGTGTTGGGTTCCCGTTTTGAATGCACTGCGCTCTCCAACCTTCCTCCTCCCCCTCGTGCCTTCTCCTCCTCCTCCCCCTCGTGCCTCCTGCTTCCTGCCTCCAGGGAGACCCAGCGGAGTGGTGAGAGACGCAGGCACTGCCTTCTTCTTCTCTCCTGCGTCCTGCTTGCGCCGCAGCCCCGTTGAGACCTCGCGGCTGCCTGTGGGGCGGTGAAGCGTGAAATTGTCGCCGCGTTCGTGGGCACCTGGGAGGTCGCGCGGAGTGGTCTTTCAGAGCCCCGAATCATCAGGGGTAACTCGGGTCAGGGATAACTCGGGTTCCTTTTTCGGGAATCCAAACCCGAGTTACCCCGGACCCGAGTTACCCCGGATAACTCGGGCGCCCAAGTCTTACACGGTGGCCAAGTCGAGACCTCCTCGCGGCTCCCGGGGGGGCTGCGGAGTCTGAGTTTGTCGCCACGTTCGTGGGCTCCTCGGAGGTCGCGCGGAGTGGCACTGGGACCCAGTTGAGACCTCCTCGCGGCTCCCTGGTCATCACTACGTTTCATTCGTATCTGCCGTATCTCCATGGGGATTGGGGGAATCGGCCAGCGTGGGCCGGCGGATTGGGCGAAGCCATTCATACCATGCATTACGCATGTTTCTCGTTCTCGTCCATTATCCTCCATCTCATCATCTATCCTCGACGGCTGACACGGCGAGGGCCCTGCAGAGGGCCCACCGAATTGAGCCCGCAGAGCAGAAGACACCGCGAAGTGTTGACACACTCGGATTTGCAATCAGTGGGTGTTCGGTGGCGCCGGCGCCCGAGATCTTTGGCTGGCTGCCAGAGAGCCCCGTGCAGCTGCGGCGGCTCCGGGCCACGTGAGCCACCGCCGTTCTTCGGCTCCGGCCCCGTGGCTGCATGGGCCGGCTGCCTGTGGGTTCATGCAGGCGTTCCGGGTACCCTCCTCGGAGGTGGGCCGCCCGCTGCGCGCGCGACCAGCTCGGGTGTTCTGTGCCGGGCATGGAACGGAGATTGGCCCGTCGACGGTCGGGACCGATCGGCGCCCCGCGGGTGATTAGTGTTCAAAACGCCCTCTGAGGCAGATTGTCCAGGGTGTCTCGGGCAGAATTGTCATGATTGAGACTTGGAGTCCCCTCCATGTCTTTTGTCGTCGAGGATGTCCCTGGCGAAAGTGTGATGATGATTTTCAGAGCCCTCTCCAAAGCCGAGTTGTCGAGGATGTCCCGAGCGAAACGGCCGCTTTCTGAGATTCTGGGTCCCCTCCGCAGCCGATGTGTAGAGGATGTCCCGAGCGAGATGGCAGTTTGAGGCCGTCTGAGCACGTCTCACCAATTTTTCTACGTGCAAGAGAGCCTGAAAGTGCAGGTCACATGCGCTTGATGTGTCAAGAGGAGAATCAAGGCGCGGCTGCCCACTTCGGGCTTTCTCGGGCCAACGGAATGCGCGAAACCTTATCTTAGCAGCCCTTTCTGTATGTTTCTCCCCTCTTCTCCATCATTATCCATCTCATCATCTGTCGTCGAAGCCTAACACAGCGAAGATTCGTCGGGGGCAGGCCGGATTCGATGTTTTCGCCCATTCCGTTGGCCTAGTCATACTGTCTCACCGGTGTCGATTGGCCGACTGTTCGTCTGCAGTGCGGAGCTGCAGGGAAGCCTCGTGGCGACATTTCGGGGTCTCCTTGGGATCTCTCCGGGCCTCTAGGGGCATCTTGAGAGCCTGTGGGCCTCTGGGGAGCCATTTGGGAGCCTCTGGTGGTCTCTTGGGAGTTCCTTGGGAGCTTGCTGGCGGTGTCGAGGGCCAGCTCCGGTGGGTCGGGCTCCAAATGATGATTCGGATTGACCGTTTTGGGCCGTTTGCGGAGCCTCTTGAGCCCTCTTGGGGAGTTTCATGGGCCGTATTGAGGCCCTTTGGAGTCATCGTGAGGCCTTCCTGGGAGTGATTGGGCTGTCTTGGGGCGATACCTCGTGGGCCCAGGAAGCGGCAGGGCCGTGTTTTCATCGTTTTCGAAGAAAACAGAGAAGCTGCGACTGCAACCGGCAGAAAAAACGGCTCCGGGATTGGATTTGGAACCAGGAACGGAAAACAACGGCAGCGGAATTGGCAAACAAAACGGCGACGGAACGAGCAAAACACGGCAAATCGGAACAGGACAATTGCCTCGTCGTTTCTTGCGCCCATCATCGCCAGGGCCGCCTTGGAGGGCCGCAGTCACGAACAGGGAAGAACGTACAAATCATTACAAATTCAAGGGTAATTAATGATTTGGGTCCACAGGGTCTTTCCTGGGTGCTCTCTTGGGGCGCTTTTGGCGCGTTTCGGAGGCGTCCCGGACCATCCAGATGTTCTATTGGGTGTCTTGGAGCGCTCTTGGGCCGTCTCGGGCCAGTTTGGGCTCTCTTGGGGGTCCCGTGGGGCGCTCTTGAAACGCTTTGGGGAGCAAAATCGTCTTCCGGCTGCGGCCAGCATACTTTCATCTGAGACCCCCAGGGGCCGCCACGCGCGCGCGACTTAAATAGACAATTCAATTGTTAACGGAGATTTTAGCATGCCTCTGGTCCGCTGGGCCAGCAAATTTGCGCCATCGTGGGCTTGTTTTGGGTTCCTGAAAGGCAGTCCCGCGGGTCCGTTGGGTCCTTTTTTGGTCGTCTTGGGCCCTGCCGTCTTGGGGCCATTTGGCCGTATGGGGGATCTCTTCGGGCCGTCATGGGGCCGTCAACCGCGACTCGACGCACTGGAAACGCTTGCCGCATTGTGCCCATGAGGGCAGGGTTTGATCCGACCGATCCGATTTGATATCGATTCTGGCCAGCCCGATTCGATCCGATTCCGGTGTGATGTTTTGACGATCCGATGCGGATTGACACTTGCATGGCATTGTTGTGAATTCTGGACGTCAGCCAGATCAGCGTCACCCAGCCTGTAGCTGCCGTCTGAGGGGGCCGGCCGACGCTCCTGTTCTAGCCAATTAGCCTCGCCCGTGGCCCGGACGTTGTCTTCGCCGCCTGACCCTTGTCTCGCGGCCGCGACCAAAAAAAAGTAACCCCACCAGCCCATCCTGAAACGGTCCCCAGGCGAGTTGCCCAGACCAGGGATGGGGAGAAACATGCCGTTGAATAGAGGGCGGTGGAAGCCGTCGTACCCCAAGAGTGGGGGATAGAGGAGGAATCGGGGGAGGGAGGGGGGGAGGGAGGAGGGACGAGGGACGAGGCGGAACAGGCCAATGAGGAAAACTAAAACTAGGAGGAGGAGAAGGAGGAGGGATTGCAGACGCCAGGAAGTAGATGTTAACGAGAACGATCATAAACACAACATAGAAATCAGACTGTAGATCCACGACTACAGGAATCCCAGAGGAAGGCCGCGTAATCGGATTTCATCCTACACGCTAGCAAACGAAGTGTGAAGCGCCCCTAAACAATGTTCAAGCGAGTTGCCCTGATCAGGTAGGTGAGGGAGCATGCAGAATAACAAAAGCTTGGGACGCCGTCGTGCCCCAAGAAGGGAGAAGACGAGGGAGAAATGGGCAGAGGAAGAGAGGAGACGGACGAGGAGGATGGCAGGGATGATCAAGAGAAATATGCTGACGGGGAGGAGAAGAATACTGAGGTGGAGGAGAAGGAGGGGGAGGGGGACGAGAGAGGGCGGACGATTATGAATAGGTGGATGAGAAAGAGGAGAAGGAGAAGGGCAGCGCCCCAAGAGACGCTGCCCAGACGAGTTGTTTTGATCAAGGACGTAAAGGTGTATACAGAGAAAACAAAGGGCTGGGTAAACCGTCGATCCCCGAGAGGGGGAAGAAGGAGGAGGAATCGGAGGAGGAAGAGGAACTGGATGATGAGGAGGAGTAGAATGGCGAGGAGGGAGGAGGATCATGTAGACAAGGAGGAGGAGGAGGAGGTGGCAGTGGTGGAGGGGTAGCGAGGGAGGGAGGAAGAGGAAGAGTAAGCGGAACAAGGAGGAGGAAAAGGAGAGGGAGGAGGAAAAAGGCGAACAGAAGAGTCAGAAGCCTCGTGAATGCCTCTCGGAGTTTCCTCGGATGTCTCTAGGAAGCTTATTGGATGCCTCTTGACACGTCTGGGGAAGCTCTTTGCGGGCCCAGGGCTGTCTTTGATCGTCTCGGCTCGGGTATTTTTGGGATCATCTTGAGGCCCCTTGGGGGTCTCTTGGGAGCCTCCTGGAGGCCTCTTGGAGCAGTCTGGGCGCCTCTGGGAGGCCCTCTTGGGGCGTTCTTGGGAGCTTTAGGGGCGCTCTTCGGGCCATCTTGAAGGCCATCGATCAAACAAGGAGGGAGTTCCAATTAGCGCCCCCCCCCCCCTGGCGCCCCAAACATCGCCTCTTGGGGCGCTTTGATAACGCTCTTCGGCGCTCTTCGGGCCGTCTTGGGGCTCTTCTGAGCCTCTCTTGGGGCTCTGTTGGTCCATCTTGGAGCCATCTTGAAGCCTCGGACGGCCATCAGAAGCGAAAAGGTGAGAAAGCAAACAGCAATGATTTTCCGTAGGGTTGGGGAGGATTTTGGCCTCTTCGGGGCTTCCTTGGGGAGCTCGTTGGCCACTTGGAGCCGTCTTGGAACTTTCTTTGGGCATCTTGGAGCATGTTGGAAGCCATCTTGAGGCATCTTGCGCTATCTTGATCCATCTTGGAGGCCATCTTGGGCTCTCTGAGGCCCTCTTGGAGCCGTCTTGGGCCATGTTGGACGCCCCGACCGCTTGCAAACTCCCCTGTCCAGGTCCAGGAGAGGGGGTAGGGGGAGGGGTCAAGACACCCTCCAGGTACCAAGCCGTCTAGCTCACTCCCACCCGCCCTCGCAACACATAAGTACCACCCAAGCCTCACCATGTTCCGCGGTCGTCTTTTGATGGGCAGCTACTGGGAACCAAAACCGAGCCCATGTGCGCGATGCTGGGGCGACGTGCGCCACGCGTGCCAGGCGCGGCACGCGCGCCAGGCATCCCTGGGGCCCGAGCGTGCCAGGCACGCCTAGTGCGCCAGTTGCTCCCTCCAGCCGCGTCAGATGTGCCACGTCCGGGGCACGTGCAGAGTGTGTCAGGTGCGCATGCGCACGTGACAGCACACATCGGGAAACATGTCGGCCCCCACCATCCCTGTCGACAACCAATGCCCATCATTGTGTCTGGTGGGCCTGCGCACAGCAGGCCATACGCCACCACCCCAGCCGTCCCTGACAGAAACCACTTGACAATGATCGCGGGGTGGCCGCGCACTATCCACATTTAGCCGCGAGATGCATTTTGTATTGTGTGTTTGTCAGGGATGGTAGCCCTGTGCGCAGCAGGCAATATGCTGACACCCCCGCCGTCCCTGTCGAACAACCATACAAAATGCCCGCGGGCCTTACGAACATGACTCCAGACTTTGCCCCAAAGTGTATTGTGCATTGCTTTTGGGGGGGAGCGCATCGGGTTGGTTGCGCATGCTCCGAAGTTGGATGCAGATTGCGTTTTGTATTGTTTTTGATGGGGATGGTGGGGGGGCCCTCATGGTGTGCTCATGGTTCCGAGTTGGCTGCCGGCCGGGTGGGGGAGGGGATGTTTATCAATAGGGAACAACGATAAACCCCTCCCCGAAGAGGAAGAAGGGGGGTGGAAGAGAAAACGCCCTGGACCACCTACGCCCAGAGGGCTGGTGGGATTTGGCGCAGCCGATCCGATTCGATTTCGATTCCGTGCTGATGAAGGCCGATCCGACGCATGTTCCGATCCGATCCGATTTCGCAATTCGATGCTGTCTGATTTTGGGAAGGGCCAGGGGGGCAGACTGTCTTGAGAGGATTCTGGCAAGTACGAGAGAGAGGTAGCACTGATCAGTCTGCCCAGGTCAGACATGTGTTGGGCGTTCTCTCGTGCTTTGCCGCAGACTCTGCAGTTCATGCCCCCCTACAGTAGGCAGATGAAACATGAAACAAGTTTGCCAACAGGTGCCCCACGGTTTTCTGTTGTTCCCCTGTCTTCTTGCGGGTCTAGCAGAATATTTGGGGCACTTAGGAAGCTCAGGGATATGACTTGGACTTCCGTATGTGAAATGGGTTCTCGAATCTATCTACGTTCCATTCCTCTCCGCGTTCCAATCTTCCCTCCCCGCCTCCCCTTCCTCTTCATCTCCTGTTCCTGAGAGGGGGGGTTCGACAGTGCCCAGCCGTCACGGGTTGCATGCTTTCGGCCCCGCGCGAGGTCATCCAGAGCAAAGTGAGGTTGACCGAGGACATCCAGGCGCTGAAGTGGAGGACGAGATGGATTACCGTCAGCGAAGGAGGAGGAGGAGGAGGAGGAGGAGGAGGAGGGGCGAGGAGGAGAGCAAAATATGGTAAAGAAGGAGACAGGATGTGAAGAAGAAGGAGGATTTGGGTAAGCACAGCGATGATCCAAGATAGCTTTCCGCCCGCAGCCCTGTCTGGGATAAATATGCAGCGACAGTCACAGTTCTAAGGGTTCCCGTTCAAGCGAGAATTCTGATATTAAGCAGAGTCTTCTCCCACCTGTTTCACTATACTAGGAAACGTCAGGCGACTGGGGACCTCAGACCGCTGCTCCAATCCCCACCATGTGCCTGCGGCACAGTGGCGGATTTGGAACCCAGATGCCTCGCCTCATGTGTGCCCACGCGCCATCCCCTCAGCTCTCCCGCTTCTTTTCTGAGAAGCGCGGGAAATGTAGATGGAAGAGGGACGGAGGGAGGCAAGAATGCCCTCCAGGCGCTGCAGGCGGAGATCGAGAAGCAGAAGGCGGTCGCCCCCACGGCCGAGAAGGAGAGCCGCCGCCAGTGCAGGCCGGGCTCTGGCGTGATCCAGGGCCCGAGTTTCTCCGTTCCGATGCATCGGCGATGCGATGCGATCCGCGGGCAGCCAGCTAACTGGAACAAGATGGGGCCCCCTCTGTCGAGGACGTCCTTCCCTCCGTCTCCCGTCTCCGTCTTGATGGGGCGTGGGGCGTGGGGCACATCATGTTTCCCAAGGCCGAGGGGAGAGGGCCCAACCCAGGGAGGGGATGGCGCACTTCGGCGGAGCCGCCTGGAAAGGGGGGGAGACGCATAGCTCGATCCCTCCTTCCTCCCGTGCGATCGGCCTCTGGGGCTACATGTCGTGGCCTCTCTCCCGAGGCCTCTCTCAGCAGAGAGCGTCCAGGATTCCTCGAATCTCCCGAGGCCGCTTCAGGGGGTGTGTGGTATGGCCGACCCCGAGCAAACCAACCCCTTCCGTGACGACCCCCTCGCCTCGCTCCTGGATGTGGGAAGGCGGCAGCCAGAGCGGAGCCTCGAGGGTGAGGGGCTCGTCGCGGACAGGATCGGTCAGGCCAGGGGCGGGGGCGGGGGGGGGGCACAGAGCATCTGTGATCGTCACTGGCGCCCCCTGGGTCCCGCCAGTGGCCTCACTGGCGCATCCTAGGGCCTCTTGGGGCAGCGGCTGGGGCGGCAGGGCCAGGCAGCCGTTGGCCATGCCGCCGCCCGGGTCCTGCCTAAGTTCTCCGATCAGCGCTTGCGCCGATCCAGGCCTCCGAACCCTTATATCCAACGTCTTGACAAAGAATCGAGACTGAGGTGTTGTTGACGTTTTCGGCCCCTGGGGGCCCATCAAAAACGACTCAGAACGAAAAGCCGGCATTGGGAAACGGGTCAGGTTTCTGGTCAGCCCGTATTGAAATTCATAAATCGCAAATCTGGAAAGGCCGATGCGTGTCTCAGAAGGCGGGGGGATTTTTAGAGGGACAGGGGCATTCTTAGAAGGACCTGGTAGAACATGTAAAGTCAGGAGGACTTTCCAAGAATAGTCACCCTGTCTTGATAGACGATCTCCCGCCTCATTAGAAGACCACCATCTTCACGCCAAACCCTTGAGCGCGCCGCCAACCTCCCACATGGGTGCGACGCAAGGGTCGTGCCGCATCGTCGATGCACCGGCGCGATCCAGAGCCCGCTAGTCTCCATCCCGCCCTCGCCGATGGGGCGCCATCGTCCGACCCCGTCTGCTCTGGGTGACTCGACTGTGCGGTCCTCGCTGAAGTCTGAATGACCGGCGAGAGTTTTGGCGGGCCCAGCTGTCGGCGGGCGGCCGGACTCCTCGGCTCCCGAGATTGTGACGGTTTTGCGACAGAATTGGGCCGGTTTCGGTAGGCGGCCAGGCCCCTGGATTCCCAGGTTCTCAGTTTCGGGTTTTCCGGGGTTCCAGGGTGGAGATTGGGGTTAAAGCGTTTCCAGATCGCAGAAATAGTAGAAGTATTCGGGATGTTGCGGAAAGCAGAATGCACAGAACACAGACAACAGAGGGGGTAGGACGGTATTCAGATAATAGACAATAGCGAGTGTATAACAGAGATCAAGGAGCAGAGCGCAGAGTGCATGAAGCACGGGAAGTGGATGATTGTGGTTTCTTCGGGTGTAGGCAAAGAATCACGGACAATTGAGTGCTCTCTGAGCACAGGCAGGTGATTGTGTTCATGAGCACTAAACGCGAACAACATATGGTTCGGCAGCCCAGAATTGGCCAGCACCCCGCCGACAGTTCGCGATGGCCCCGCCTCCGTTGACATCTGCGTTCGGTTCTAATTTGCTTGCGGCCAGATTTCACTGCGAGCTTCCCAGCGGCGTCCGTGATGCCTCGACCAGTCGCCTGCATGTGTTCCCCCCGCCTTTCAATCATGACTGCTACGTCGCAGCGGCCGTACCCCCTTGCTTCAGTCAGTCGCCCGTTAGGGGCAGCAACATGTTCGGAAGCCATTCGCGATGTCGCGTCACGACCTGCCCCGTGCAGGGGTGAGCCAGCGGATGCTGCGGCGAGCCGAAATCGCAACGGCTATTCAGACAGACTACGGAGTCTGGTGGCCATCGTGATGCACATGTTGATTTCCCACACACACACATTAACAGTTGTTGTTCGGGACGTGCGTTATTCCCGCAAAAGCAGCAACAAATCGTTTCTACAGCCTGGGGCCCTCAGCTTCGACAGCCAGACCAGCACCAGCGCGGGCTCGCCATCCCTGATGGACGACTTCGAAAGCATGAAGGACAGTTGCCGAGTGTTCCTTGTCAGGGGGTCAAGTGGGGGGGGAACGGAAGCAGGCGTACCACGATGAGGAGGAGGGGGCGCCAGACGTGGCGTGCAGAAATCCGAATTCGCCAAGAAGAGACAGTCGAAGAAGGGCCAATTCTGTCGCATCTCGCCGCTTTCTGCGCCCTCCGTCGCCCTGTTCCTTCGGAGGGGCAGAGAAGAGGAGAGGGCGGAGGGGGAGAGAAAGAGAGAGAGAGAGAGAGAGAGAGAGAGAGAGAGAGAGAAAAAAAAAAAAAAGAAACAAAAGAAAGAATACACGACAGGCAGGCAGAAATTAAGGAATCAACAAAGGCATACATCAAGAAATAAGGCATGTGACACCACTACGTGAGAGGGGTAAAGAGAGATGGCTAGATTTATGTTAGCCAGCGTGGACCGTGTGCGATAGGTTTGGTGCAGTCTATGTTGTGCAACTGATCACTTGCCGAACTTGAAGTTGTCAACTCCACTGCTCGCGCAATCATCCCACCCACACCCGCAACTTGGTTTGCAAAACCCATGCGGGACCGTGCACAGATATCGCTCCGGGGTCGTCTTTGAGCCCTCGGGGGCGTCTCAAGAGCGCCCCAAGAAGGCCGGAGAAGCAAGACGGCCGACGACGACGACGATGACGACGACGACAGCGGCGACGACGACGACGCCGACGTCGACGACGACGACGACGAAGACGACGACGCCGACGCCGACGACGACGACGAAGACGACAACGACGTCGCCAACGAAGACGACGACGAGGGAGGAGGGAGGACGACGACGGCGACAACGACGACAACGACGACAACCACGACAACGAGGGAGGCGGGAGGACGGCGACGATGCGAACGACGAAGAAGGAGGAAGGACGGCGACGCCGGCGACGACAACGACGAGGGAGGAGGGAAGACGACGAGACGACGACGACAACGACGACGACGACGACGGCGACGAAATAGGAGGGACGACGAGACGCCGACGACGGACGACGACGACGACGACGACGACGACGAGGGAGGAGGAGGAAGGACGACCACGGCGACAACGACGACGGAAACGACCACGACGCCAAAGAGGACGACGACGAACACGAGAAAGACACAGGACGACGTAGGCGACGACGACGACGACGACGCGTGAGGAGGGAGGACGGCGACGACGACGACGACGACGACGCCGCAAGAGCGCGCGCGCACGCTTTTGTTGAACATCCGTGTTGCGAAACCTAATGTTTTTGTAGGTTTTTTTGGACGCGCGATTTTGAAGTCCTTCCGAAACCGATGGGTTTTGAAGGATTTCGGCGTACGCGCGCGACGACGTGCGCGTCTGCACTTCGTTTTTTTTGCAGAGGATTCTCGCGACGGCACACGCGCAAGGGCCTTCGACAGATTTCGACATGCGCGCGCGCGACGCCCGTTTGGTAGCATGTTGTGAAAATCTTGAAAACCAATGGGTTTCTTAAGATTTCGCAAGAGCTCGCGCGTAAGCTTTTTTAGCCAATCAGTGTTACGAAACCTTGTGTTTTGATATGTTGTTTGGAAATTCGATTGCGGAATCCTTCCGGCACCGCAGGTTTTTGAAGGATTTCGGCATGCACGCGCGACGACGCGAGCGTGCGCTTTTCGTCCCATTGTTTGCAAGGGATTCGCGAAAAAGTGCTATGTTAGAACAAAAAATGTCACCGCATAGTGTTTTTTTACCAGGGAACCTCAGGGGGGGGACACCGGTTGGCCTGGGACATTGTGATTTCATATTTAATCGCTTCGCTCATTCCGCCGGCCCATATTGTCGCACCGGTGTGGGCTAGCCGAGTTTTGGGGCCTCTTGGGGGCCGTTTTGGGGCCTCTTGGGGCCTCTTTTGGGCCTCTTGGGCGCCTCTTGGGGCGTCTTGGGGGCCTCTTGGGGGCCTCTTGGGGCCTTTTTGGGGCCTCCTGGGCGCCTTCTGGGGCGGAGGGCTCGATTTTTCAGTTCTCGGTTCCCCTCTTGAGCCCCTCTTGGGCCCGTCTTGGGGCCTCTTGGTCCGTCTTGGGCGGCACTTGGGCCGTCTTGGGGCCTCCTGGGCCGTTCCGGGGCCGTCTTGGGAGCCTCGTGGGCCGTCTTGGAGCGGTCTTGGGGGCCTCTTGGGCCGTCTTGGAGCGTCCGGAAGCCGAAAAAGCCAGAACACAAAAAACATCGAAAAAACAAATGAAAATCAACGATTTTGGCCTCTTGGGGCTCTCTTCGGAGGCCTCTTGGAAGGCTCTTGGGGCGTCTTGGAGGCCTCTTGGGCTGTCTTGGGGGCCTTTTGGGCCGTCTTGGGGTCATCTTCGGCGTCTTCGAGCGCTCTTTGGGCGTCTCGGGGGCCTCTTGGGCAGTCTTGGGGGCCTCTTGGGGCACTCTGAGCGCGCTCTGGGGAGCCTGAGAGGCCGCACCCAGAAGGAAAACCATCTCTGAGTAGACTTGGCGGTCGGGCGGCGGTCGGGCGGCGGTCGGGCGTTGGTCGGGGTACTTTTCGCCGGGGGACCCCCAGGGGCCGCCCCGCGCGCGCGAACTAGAAATACTGTTAATACTGTTAACCAGGTACCGGAGATCTTAGCACGCCCTGGCCCGTTGGGCCGGCGAATTTAGGATGGACATGTGGTCATAATCGTATGTGATTTACATACCCGAAAAGGGGGGGCGATAACTCCGGGGGGGTGTAGAGTCTACTCTCTGTTTAGAAAGGAGAGGTCACTTGGACTGCCTTGAAACTGTCCTCTCCACTGCTCGTGCAAACATCCCACCCTCCCACCCGCAACCTGGCCGCAAGACTTCTTAAGACCGTGACGGTGGGTACCACATGGCATTTGGCAACGACAGCGACGCCGACGACGACAGCGACAGCGACGACGATGACGCCGACGACGACTGCGACGACACCGACGACGTCTCCGACGATTTCGACGACAACGACAACGATGACGACGGCGACACCGACGCCGACGCCGACGACGACGACGACGACGCCGACACCGCCGACGCCGACGACGACGACGACGCCGACGACGACGACGGCGACGACGACGCCGACGACGAGGACGACGACGGCGACGACGACGTCGACGATGACGACGACGACGTCGACGACGCCGACGACGACGACGACGAAGTCGACGACGACGACGACGTCGCCAACGCAGACGACGACGACGAGGGAAGATGCAGGACGACTACGGCGACAACAACGACGATGGAGGAGGGAGGACGGCGACGACGCGAACGACGAAGAAGGAGGGAGGACGGCGACGCCGACGACGACAACGACGAGGGAGGAGGGAAGACGACGACACGACGACGGCGACGAAATAGGAGGGACGACGACGAGACGCCGACGACGGACGACGACGACGACGATGGAGTAGGAAGGACGATCACGGCGACAACGACGACGGAAACGACATCGACGCCAAAGAGGACGACGACGACGAGGAAAGACAGGACGACGACGGCGACGACGACGACGACGAGGGAGGAGGGGGGACGGCGACGACGACGACGACGCAAGAGCGCGCGCGCACGCTGTTGAAAAATACGTGATGCTAAACCCAGTATGTTTTATTGTGTTTGGACTCGATTTTGAAATCCTTCCGAAACCGAAGGGTTTTTGAAGGATTCCGGCATGCGCGCGCGACGACGCGCCCGCGTGCATTTCGTCTCTTTTGTTGCAGATGATTCTCGCGACGCCACGCGCGCAAGGGCAGACAAAACGATTCCGACATGCGCTCGCGAAGACAGTTTGGTTGTTGTCGTTGCCAAAAAGTATTGAACAGTCCATGGTTTTCTTAAGATTTCGCAAGAGCGCGCGTGTAAACTGTTTTAGGAATCAGTGTTGCGGAACCTGTTGTTCTTGTGTATATATATATAGATTGGAAACTCGATTATGACATCCTTCCGAAACCGACGGTTTTCGAAGGATTTCGGCATGCGCGCGACGACGCGCGTGCGCACTTCGTGCCATTTGTTGCAAGGGAGTTTTGGAAACGTGTGGTTTTTGATGAGCGAGAGTGCGCGCATAGTTTTTTGCAGAGGATGTGGGGGGGTTCGATACCGGCCTGGCTGGGATAGTATGCGTTCACAGGTAGGATGGACATTGGGTCAGAATCCCATGCGTTTTGCATCGGTTCCTGAGGGATATTTAACCCCGCGGGGGAGGGTGGTAGAACTTATTATTCTTTTGGTTTTCAGAAGGGAGAGTACAGGCTGTACAACCTGTATTTCTACATGTATATATGGTGTGCAATCGATGTGGCGCAGTATCGAATGGCCTTCGGCTCATCGCGTCAGCGTGCCCAGGATTGTGGGTATGACTTGGGATCTCGTGTGTGGCCTCTCGGGGGCCTCTGAGAGCCAGTTTTGATGCCTCGCAGGGGCCGTTTCGGTGCCTATTGGGGCATTTGGGGGGCCTCTTGAGGTTTCTCGGGGCCTCTTGTAGCCTCATGGGGCGGAAGGCTCGGATTTTTCGGTTCGTGGTCCCTCTCTTGGGCCCCTTTTGGCGCCGTCTTGGAGCTCTTTTGGGCCATCTTGGGCGCCTTTTGGTTGGGCCGTCCTGGGGCGCTCTTAGGCCGTCTTTGGGCCCTCTTGGAGGCCTATAGGGCCGTTTTGGGGTGGTCTTGGGGGCCGCTTGGGCCGACTTGGAGCGTCGGAAAGCAGAAACGGCGAGACCGCAACAATCTTTCAAACCTACAACAAATATAATGTTGGCCTCCCGGGGCCCTCTTGGGAGGCCTGTTGGAGTCCTCTTGGGGCGTCTTGGAGGCCTTGGGGTCCCCCGGCGAAAAGTACCCCGACCAACGCCCGGTCGCCGCCCGACCGCCGCCCGACCGCCGCCCGACCAAGTCTACTCAGAGATGGTTTTCCTTCTGGGTGCGGCCTCTCAGGCTCCCCAGAGCGCGCTCAGAGTGCCCCAAGAGGCCCCCAAGACTGCCCAAGAGGCCCCCGAGACGCCCAAAGAGCGCTCGAAGACGC